TGAATTATACAACACACAGTATAAGCGCGAGTGCGGAATATCCCCGTGACCTTGTGTGAAAGTCGAATCGATCGAGGCCGACCTATCAGCGGTGAAGTGGGCTGTTGTTCGTCCAAACAGAAGCGAGCTAGTGTGTAGCGGTGTGTAAATGGGAATACTGTCGTACAATTTACCCAGATTCCTATACATTTCCATTTTCGGGGGAGGGGTAGAGCCTTGTGTAAGCATAAATAAATATATCTGAAATAATATGTTTTATCAACTTAAACATAACTTTTACAAATATGGTTTTTAAATTGAGGGAGGGGGTAGCCTCTTTAATTCTTTTTCATTACGTTCATCGATTGTAAATTTCACCGGAAAGTGCTGGTTGTTCATCTGCTTCTGGAATTTGGTCTTGTTCTGCAATATGAGTTTTGCGTACAGTTCCATTTAACCGATCTGGCTTATGTGTATACAAACTGTTGATTCTCGCCTCTCAGACAAATGCACAACTTCGAAGAAAAAAAAATCCCTAATCAGTCACCTTTTACGACACGCTTGTAAAGATGGTAGTATTTTTAGTCTTTTCTCTGGGGGTTGGGGGGTGGGGGGGGGGGGTCGCAAAATGGAGCGCAAGGAACTCGCACGGAAAATCCCACTTACAAATTTTACAATATTTGTGTGGTGGAGGCGTGGTGGCTCAATGTTGCTCAAGCCCTACATTCCAGTGCCTCTGCTGTGAGTGGAAAGTTAAGAACGGGAATGATTATGTTTCTTTATTTGTGTGTGAGGCGTATGTCCTGGGCCAATGATCCACACACACAACCCTAAAACTACCCCCCCCCCCCCCCACACACACACACACAAACACACCCCAGGCCAACCCAGCCTAAAACTGGTGCCAGTAAATTTGGTCAATAAAAATATGAGTCTAAGATCAAAAGCCGGATATTCCCTTGTGGGTTCCTGGGCCCCGCTGTGGGGTAAACAAGACCTACTGAATAAATGGGAGCTTCTTTCGAAGTTAGAGTACATTTGCCTGAGAGGCAAGGAACCAACAGTTTGCATGCAAGTGAGTTAGACCTGTGAAACGGACGTGCACGCAAACCACAGTTTCTGGCATAGGGCTAGAGTCCAGAAGTAGGCGAACAACCAGAACTTTCCGCAGGAGTTTGCAGCCGGTGAACGCGAAGAAGACAAAAAGCCGGATGCTCCACTGGCGTCAAATGGGTTATGTACTCACAAACGACTTCTACGTTCTTCCTTAAAGGGCGGTTGTCATGCGGTGTTGCAGTTTGCAGTCAGACCGCGATATCCGTGCCTTTCGACCCAACACAGCCGATTTCAGCAAACTCCTCTTCTATAACATGTCTGTTGGGGAACAGTAGGTGCACACACCCCCCCCCCCCCCACACACACACACACACACACACACACACACACACACACACAAATCAGTCTCAAACCTGCACACGGAAAGTTACCCGCAACATCCAACAAATCCATCTTGTGTAACTTCATTGTCACAACACCCGCATATCTACATACCAATGTAATACCCGCCACAACTATATGCATATTTCTCTGAAACATAAAGACAGACACGCCTAACCGAGGTACATACACCTCGCTATCAGATATCTCAACCCAAAGCTTGCATTACGTTCACAAACTCCCTGCGGTGTCTTGTAAACGTGTCGTTTTGAGACGCTTTCGCGCCTGCCAGTAATATTAAAACTAGGTATTTCTGTTACCTTTACATGAAACAACATCAACAAAACAAGCTAACAACAAACAGGCGTCGCCAGCAGGTGTCCGAGGGCCACGCTCAGTGCGGAGACCATACAAATACATCCGCACGAACTTAGCTGGTAATGGAAGGGGCACGAAGGGAATATAATAATGTCTTCCTTAGGACGACGGGTCGGCGGTTTTTTCTTCTCGTTGGAAAACTCGTTTCTCAAGTTTATCAGAACGAACCGCGCCACCATGAAACTTTTGATTCCAACTATTGTAACAGTCACTTGGTCAAAGTTTAGCTAAGTGAATTATACCGCACCCCCACCCTCCCCTCTTTTTTTTTCTTTAAGTGACGAAAGGCTACTTCAAGCCCTACCCTTTCTTATTTACACTGTATATACCACAGTGTTCTGAGTACAAGACGATATGTTTCCCCAAATTATATGATTGTGGATCGTCTTTACATGGGATGTTGCAATGAAATATATAGATAAATATAGCAGTACTACCACCTGGCAACACGACAAACCCTGGTCTGGCACATCCCCCACCCCAGTGGAATTAAATCGATTATCTCCATGCTATACCTTTATTTATAATGCACGTAGAATCATCACACTGTGGTTAAATGGCTTTTTTCTTTTTAAATTCACTGCTAAACAGAAGTAAAGTTGTCACTACTCAGTTCTTCGCTGACTCTGACATGCTTCAACAGGCAACCATATCAGAAGAAAATTAAATATCGAAACAAAACAAATGCAAAAACATAAATAAAGAAAAGCATTCAAAAGAAAAAAAAAACATTAACCGCATTTCCTCTTCTTAAGAAAACATTACTACACACTGTTATAGAGAATCAATCAATTAATCGGCAGGTACTTTAAAGAAAGTAGCTCTCTTCACGGCCTGAAAATATATCTTTATCTCTTTCTAGTCAATCTTCCAGCCCTGTGTGCTTTTATAGCCAATGCTATCTTAGAGACTGATACCGATAAATCAAAATCTAATACCTGGCAAAATGTATTTACGTCCACAGTATTTTCCTTTAAAAGCAGCCAGTTTACCTTTAAAAAAAAAATCTCCGATAAGCATTAACTGCTCTACTCTATCAATAAAAGTTACTACATATAATAATACTATGATCAAAGAAAGACTCAAAGCTCTGATGCTTTTTAACTGAAAATCTGGCCAGGAGTCTGTCAAATATGAGAGTTCCAAGATGCAAGAAAAGGGCCATTAATTCTTTCAGTTTTAGCCAGCTTTTATAGTTAGTTAATCCGCTCTGTGCCAGTTAATACTTCAACTTTTGCTACATAAATTTTCTACCTAAACCGCGTTTTTCTAGTTAATACTTTAGTCTTTCTTGTCCCACACAGATGTGTTGAGTTTAGTTTATCACAACTGTACCTAATACATGCCCACAAGTTGCTGCAATCTCCCAGGAAGTGAACACATCTTTGTACAGCAACCAGCTGTGTCCATTCAGTGTATTTCATGAGCCTGCCTATGCGTTTCACGAGTTGCTTGTATTTTTTTCTAATCACTCCATTCTGAACTCTGTCAGGACCAGACAACTCGCCATATGTTTACTGGTTTTTCCACAGATAACATAATGTTCTTACTGTCTTCTACACAGATATGCATTATACTAACCCACTGTATCTCAGTTATTACAACAACAAAACTCATTAACACAAAGAAGAACATTCGGTTAACATGAACACAATTTTTGTGACAACAGGTATATACTGTTATTACTAGTCCCTTGATTAACCGATCCACGGGCAAGTGTCGGGCCGCTACATCACAACAGCTATCTTGTGTGTATGTGTGTATATATACGTATGCATGTGGGTGTATGCAGACACATATGTTATACATATGTGTGTGTGTGTGTGTGTGTGTAATTTTACATGTATGTGGGTATATATAGTGCATACCAGCCATTCTCCCCAACAACCTCACTAGGTACTAGAGTACCAGTAAAAGCCACTAGTTTTGGTGCAATAAACATTTCTTAACCAACATAATTGGCACAAAGAAACCAAACCACAATTATAACCAATACTGCTGGCAGAATATTGAATGTGGTCAATTTAATGTTTTGTTTTTCATAAATTTACAGATGCATCAGCAAAAATAATTGTAACATTAACTCGAGTTCCAGCCCTTTGGAATTCATGTCAACAAGGTTTTACTGTAGTTCAACCACTTCCGTCCCACCAGTCTCTGCTGGACTCTCCCAGACCTAAAAACGTATTGTTTTTAAGCTCAGCTCCAAGGAATATAATGGATGAAAGTATTAACTGCTTGTGACCGAAAGAATGAATCCACGAAATTTGGATTTAAACAACTGAAGATTCATTTTGTTGAAAGTTCTCATCTCAGCCCAACTAAGGTCAGTACTATCTCAGACAGAATTTTACAACTGCCATAAGAATCTTCAGCACATACTTCTTCTTCTTCTTCTTGTTCACCGGCTGTGAATTCCGGCGGTAAGTCGCGGTTGTTCGTCCAAATGGACTTTTGGCTTTTACCTTGACCTGAGTTTTGCGTGTACATCCGTTTTACTGTCTTATTTGTTTGCAGTCCTCGTTCCCTGCCTCACCGGCAGATGTACTCCAACTTCGAGGGAATTCAGCACATACAAGGCACAGGTTTTTACACATCTTTTGGGTGCTGTTTCCACAATGGAGGTTGGTTGTAATGTATTCATTGCTGTCTTTAGGAATATTGCATAGCAAGATCCCAAGCTCTTCTACTGTCTGAAAACCATGAAAATGTTTTCTTCTAAACACCCTGCTGCAGATATACAACTCCAGTACCTAAGAATTATGAAGTGTGTTCATTTATTTTCAATTTGAGCTACAGAGCAGATAACCCTCACTGGGTAGTGAACTATTCAGTCCTTAAGTGCTTGGATCTCTTCCTGAGTTTATCCCTCAGTGTGTGGTCACTCGCATAAAATTATCACCTTCTTGCTAGGTTCACCATTTGTAATCTATGGAGCAAATGTATGGTTATTCATCTACATTTGGGCTTTGATCATCTTGCTCCAGGGAATAAACATTTTATGTACACATCCATTTTACAGATCTAAATTACTTGTGTGCAGGTTATTGGTTCCTCATCTCTCAAGCAAACGCACTCTATCCTCGAAGGAAACAACCCTTAATTAGTCACCTTGTACTACATACTTGTTAAGGGGGGCAGGGGGTCTTCTTCCCCAAAATGGGGCCCTGGAACTCACACAGGTACGTAATATCACAAAGACATACCTTTCATCTCCTATGTCCATTCCCTCGAGTTCATTTGTGACATCTTCAATTTCTCTTTTTAGTTCCTGCGATTACGAAAAAAAATCCACTAAAACTTAAAAAGCCCAAATGTGTATGTGCTACAAACACAGTCTGAAACAATTAAATAAAATTATGCAACAACTGCAGTTAGCCAAAAGATCAACCTCACAACACACTAAACCAATCTAAATGGCCTGGATCCTTTCCTCAGTTTATTTCTTAGTGTATGGTGGTACTTACAACCCTGGTTCTGTGTTGTTGTTGTTTTTTTTTGTTTATATACTTTACCGGCTTCCTAAATGAGTGTTCTTGCCTGGCTTCATTCTTTTTGACTTGCTGTTCTTGCAGTCTAGTCAAGATTGCAATTAACAGTTATCACCTGATTTGGAGAACTCCCCCCACTTTTGCTGACTTCTTCTGCAATCGCCCTGAAAAAGATGGCTGGCACACTATGTTGCAGTTTACAGCTGGGCTGCGATATCCATGATTTTTGTGTGTGTCTAACACATCTGATTTCAGCACACCCTTAATTAGTTGCCTTTTATGGGTGCAGCAAGTTCATTCTTTTTTCAACTAACCCGGGTCACTCTGCCTCTCTAACAGCATTCAGTATATCAGCGCAGACCTTTCCTTGTCTGCTGTCCACAACAGTCTTGTCAGTAAGCTTACTGGCTTGAACATTTCCCTCTACAAATGCTTTCAAAAAGTCACAAACCAAGATATAATCTGATTAGGACAGTATAACTGTGTTAGTATGTTAATTTTAGATCTCATCTAGATAGTTAAAGGCCATGTGGATGTGGAAAACAAGAGGAAACTATGATATTATTATCACAAGAGACATGTCATTTAAGCCTAAAAATAAACAAACAGCAAAAGGCGTGGAAAGAAGGGGCAGGGGCCAACCAGCATGAAGATGGGCATAGGAAATAAGTGACACCTTTGGTAGGAATGTGCACAAGGTTGTAGAGCTAGGTAAAGATAGCTTCTTTCAGACAGACTGTGATGAGAATGAAGTTCTGCAAAGGACCTGCTAGATGATGACTTTACATTTTCTAGAATTACAGGATAACAAATATTTCAACTGAGCAATCTCCTAAAGCACGTTTGTAAACTGCTTTTTCATGAGAAAGAGGAAATTGGAGGCACTTCAACAGAAACAGTTATGATGTTTCACTTTCTAGACCATATTTTATGTTAGCAACTGTTTCTCCACAAGAGGAATCAGTCAGCTCTGGCTACAGCATCAGGATAGATACTAGGGCTGTACCGATTAGTGATTTTCACTATTCGGCCGAATACGAATAGCTGGACCAACTATTCGGCCGAATACCAATACGAATAGTATCATCATCATAAACCACTTCTGCCGTTAAGCGGCGTGGGGAGGAATAATTTGCGATCCAGTGCACGCTGGCTGCCACTGGCTATTGTCATGCCGTGAAGGCGTTGAGACGAATAGTGTATTGTGTTTAAATATTTTTTTTTTTAAAACACTCGTAATGACCAATGTACGCTGAACTTTTACTTCACATAAAGTAGCACAGAATAGTCATCTTCTTCTTTAGCATTCTGAGCCCTTGAGGTTTACTGCTGCAGATATCACTCGTCTCCATTCATCTCTCTGGCTGGCCTTCTCTTCACAATTTGTGACACCAGTTGTTTGCAGGTCTAGCTGGACATTATCTCTCAAACTTCTATTTTGTCTGCCTCGTGGTCTACGTCCATTTGTCTCTCAGGTTTATACAGTTTTTACTTCTCTGTCATCTGACATTCTTTCAATATACCCCAACCATTTTAGTCTGTTAGCTCTCATTATGCCAATGATCAATTGTGATTTAAACAGATTATGTGTTTCGTTGTTGCTTCTCACTCTCCATTCCCCACTGTTTGCATCTTTGATGGGTCCAAAGATTTGTCGTAAAACTGTTTTCGAAAACCTGTAATAAGGAAGGCTTCATCTCTTTTATTTCTGCTTCAAGTTTCAGAGCCATATAAAACGACTAGTCTTATCAACGTTTTATATATTTTGATCTTGGTGTTGCGAGAGAGACACTTTGACTTTAGCAGATGTTGAAGGGCATAGTATACTTTATTTTTAGAGTGTATTTCTTCTCTCAGCATGTTGGAACAGTTGAAGTTTGCACCCAAGTACTTATAGGTTCCCGTTCGTTTGATTTCACATAATCGACTTGTATGTGGCCGGAGTTTATATTCTTTCTCTGTCTAGTTTGTATTTGTACAGAAAATTGTAAACATTTCAAAACATTTTATGTTTTGCATCTTTCGGTCAGTATGTGGTAACTAATAACTAGGAATGAAAGAATCCTAAGTATTATAGCAAGTAACTAAACTTGGAAAATGTCACTGACAGCTTAGTTAATGCAGGAAAGCTGCATTAGCTTTTAACAAAACCAATCGTTCCATGTTGTCAGCATTAAGGCAGTGTATGCAGAAGCGGGTGTAAGGTAACTACTATTCGTATTCAGCTCGACCGCAACTATTCGGCTGAATGCTGAATAGTCAATAGGTCCACTATTCGGCCCTGAAGCGAATACGAAGCGAATATTCGGTACAGCCCTAATAGATACACATGCCTGAACAATTAAACTGAAGCCTACATATTTAAATGATGTAAAGGCATTAAAGAACAGAAAAACCCATGGAGAAAAAGGACAAAATAATAAAATCAAGTAAACTCTGAGTCAAGCACGTAAGATTCTATGATACACTGCAACAGGAAAAAAACATGTAAACATATTTATGATAAGAAATGACAACACCGTGTTTGTTCTATCTCTATGTCATATTTTACCACTTGGTGGTGAATTAATGTATGGCAAGCTAGATGTGAGGGCCCTTTGGGAGTGAGTGAAAAGTCAGTGGAACAAACATTTCATTATGGTCTGAGGAAACTGGTGCTGTGAGGAGTTACCTGGGCATCTGACTCACACTCAACACTCAAGGGAAAGGCAAGACGGATATTCATTCCATCAGACGGTAACTGGTACCACCATCTGAACAGAAAATCTTGGTTTGCAGCTGAAGATGGGGAGGGAGCGCTTATGAGTGTCCCAAGTGCTATGATGTGGATTCTTAATTAAACATTTTATGTTATATACACATCATGTTTTGTGTATGTGTGTGCGTGCTTACATGTACACATGCAATTACTTCTAGCCTATACACAAGTCACTACTAAGCTTATACACCTTTGGCATAGAATAATATTAGCTACAAATGTTAACAACCTCCCACACATCAGTAGTATTTGCCATGCTGATCCGTATCATTGATCATGGTTGCAATTTCACATAATCACCAGTTTCAAATTAGACTATGCTTTTGTACTGACTATGTCAACATCAGAAACAGACAATCTACATTCTTTGGTCATGTGATGAGAAGGAGAAAACTGGAGTACATCGTGACGGTATGAAAGTTGGAGGAAAGAGAGGCAGAGGGAGACCGAGAGAACAGTATGACATCATGGCATGGAAGATCATCGGTGTCAGAGTTGATTGAAAGTACACAAGACAGAAGGCTGTGGATAGACATGACTACCAACGCCACACGGCGTGGACTTTTAAGAAGAAGAATGTCAAAAAATCAAACCATCCATGTATGTATCTCATTTGACTTCCCTTTGCTTTTCTCATATAAAATCTGCCAGGTGTCACTAAGCTTGTCTGCTTACTGCCAATGTTTCACATGCATGCGACAATATAAGCTTTATAAAGCAATTTAACACAATGGTGGTATCAAAGAAAAGAATTATTCCTAAATGGGTAATAAAAGTCAATGGTATTATTTTGGGACAAGTACAGAAATTTAAATATCTGGGCACATGGATAACATCAGAAGATAGATGCATAACTGAGATAAGAAACAGAATAGGATAGGCAAAAACTGTTCTAAGGTAGCTCTATCAATTTACATGTTCCAGAATTTTTCTCATGTTCTTGGGAGATGTAGTAGTGCAGGGAGCAGATTGCCTGCCCCTCCGAATGTCTTGGGTTCGAACTGAACCCAAGGCAGATCTGCAGCCTAGAGTGATGTGCAGCACAGTGCACACATCATGTGCCCGATCCACTAATGGCATGATAAGAGTCCTGTACACACTTTCTTCTTGGAGAATATTATCAATTGTTTTCTTACAAGGAAAGTCTACCGTATCACACACATCATCATCATCATCAAGTGTTGTCTCCACAATGAAGGTTGGCTCCGTCTCTTGTCTTGGTTGTGCACACTCTCTCAGACTGCTGTTTGTCCATCTCTTGATTATGTCTTCCCACTTGTATCACTGTCTACCTCCTGCTCTCTTGCCCTTGACCTTTCCCTCCAGTATAGTTTTTTTTTTAAAGTGTTATGTCTTTTAATGTGGCCAATATATTTCAACTGTCGCTTTTTTAATTTCCTTAAGTAATTCTCTTCTCATTCGTAGTCTTTCCAGAACATCTGTATCTGGATGCTTTGTTTCCATGAAATACAACCTTTTCTTCTTTATATCCACATTTCCAGAGACTCAATTTGCTTTTCTAGTTGTTTGTTCACTGTCCAAGTTTCCACACCATATAGCGGGGTTGATCATAATAACATCTGGTGGTTCATATTTTCTCTCTAGATGTCAATAACTTTTGCATCTAGCTGAAACAGTTTTAGCCATTCTTATTCTCTTTTAAGGGGTCACTACACGGCATTTTTTTCCAATTTATGACAAAAATATCACTTTTTCAATGTGTTCGTTTTTGTAAAGTTCGGCATTCGTAGAATAGATGACACACAAAATTTATGTCATTTGTAAACAATTTAGCATTGAAAAGTTAATACTAAAGACACCTCCTCGTGCACTTTTTTAAGATAAAAAAAAGTTTAGAAGTCAGTTTTCTCAATTCTCTGTATTTCAGTTTGCAGTGTGTGTGAAATCCTAAAATCTAAGCTAATATATAAAGAGTAGAAACTTGAAATTGTGTATGCATACTTCGTAAACAATATTATAGGGACTGGTCTATCTAAAAGTAGATTTTAGAAAGTTTTTGTTTTTTAAAATTTGATTATTATCTGATGATGCTAGATTTTTTTGACTTTTTCAATAAACCTACATTTTAAAATTCTACGAAAATAATTTAAAAACATGTTTAAAGTAAATAAACTAGACCTGTACCTGTAAATACTATAAGAGGTCATAAATCCATCAATTATTGTTGCATACCTATATTTGTTTTTACAATTTTAGGATCCTAAGTACATATTGTTTTTGTCACAAGATGGCGGCTATTGCCATGACAACTATGATTTTTTTAACACTTAAAGTATACAAATGTAATAACATGTATCCCTACAAATGACCATTATAAAATAACTGCTCTAACTCTGTAAATAAAAAAATAAATTTTTTTGGTGTAGTGACTCCTTAAATTTCTGTTTTACTTCTGCCATCATCTGTTATTACGTGTCCAAGAAAACAGACAACTTGTTACTTGTTCTATCTCTCTGTTTACAGTGATGTTTGCTGCTGGGTCGCTTTTTTCCACTGTTAATTACCATACTCTGCACTCCACCTGTTATCATGACCCACTAGGTCCTGTAATTACTGTTCACCTTCTGCTAGTAACACTGTGTCATCAGCATATCTCAGACTGTTTATTATTCTTACATTAATATTAAGTCTAGATAATTCCTCAACTTGTCTAAAAATTGTGTCTCTTTATAAGTTGAAAAGGTTTGAGGATAAAACACATCCTTGACATGTACAACAACATCCATGAAATGATGAAGATGTCCTTCATTATCTGCAACCAACACTATCATCTATCCATATCCTCTTCATGTCGCTGTTGACACATAAGGCATTCACAAGTGATCTCCATTGCTGCCGGTCTGCTGCTTTTCTGCCCATGATATCCCATGTCAGTTTACATTTCTTCATTTCCCATTCTATTGTCCTTCTCCAGGTTTCCTTAGGTCATCAATGTCTACTTTTCCCATCTGCTGTCCACCAGAGAGCAGTAGTGTCACAAGGCATTCTGCAAACATGTCCAAGCCTACTCCATCGTCTTACTCTGATAACATTTGCCAGTGATGCACATTCTGTTAACCTCCTCACTCTATTATCTGCCTCTCATATATTGTTAATGTTAAGTCCTCTCCTGGAGATGGCCTGATACAGGGTACATAATGAGGGCGTTAAACAGGGTAGATACTGAGGGCGCTATACAGGTTACATACTGAGGGCGTTATACAGGGTATATACTGAGGGCGTTATACAAGGTACATACTGAGAGTATACAGGGTACATACTGAGGGTGCTATACAGGTTACATACTGAGGGCGTTACACAGGGTATATACTGAGGGCGTTATACAAGGTATATACTGAGGGCGTTATACAAGGTACATACTGAGGGCGTTATACAAGGTACATACTGAGGGCGTTATACAAGGTACATACTGAGGGCGTTATACAAGGTACATACTGAGGGCGTTATACAAGGTACATTGAGAGTATACAGGTTACATACTGAGGGCGTTATACAGGGTACATACTGAGGGCGTTATACAGGGTACATACTGAGGGCGTAACACAGGGTATATACTGAGGGCGCTATACAGGTTACATACGGAGGGCGTTACACAGGGTATATACTGAGGGCGTTATACAAGGTATATACTGAGAGCGTTATACAAGGTACATACTGAGGGCGTTATACAAGGTACATACTGAGGGCGTTATACAAGGTACATACTGAGGGCGTTATACAAGGTACATACTGAGGGCGTTATACAGGTTACATACTGAGGGCGTTATACAAGGTACATACTGAGGGCGTTATACAAGGTGCATACTGAGGGCGTTATACAAGGTACATACTGAGGGCGTTATACAAGGTACATACTGAGGGCGTTATACAGGTTACATACTGAGGGCGTTATACAAGGTACATATTGAGGGCATTATACAAGGTACACACTGAGGGTGTTATACAGGGTACATACTGAGGGCGTTATACAGGGTACATACTGAGGGCGATATACAGGGTACATTCTGAAGGCGTTATACAAGGTACATATTGAGGGCATTATACAGGGTACATACTGAGGGGGCTATACAGGGTACATACTGAGAAGAAATTGGCAGAGACAGGCACTGAAATTGAAAACAAGTGGATTTAAGAATTGAGGACTTCCAAGAGATGAAAAAGACCAAACGTGCTGGACTGTATTCCATCCATGATACTGACAGGATTGTACAGATTGAAGGAATAGCCTGCGAGTCCTATGTGATGTATAATGACAGAACAGGATGATGATGTTATTAAACTTTATGTTTTTATTATAGACAGAAAGAAAGTGTTAAGACATTGCACATTATTGTCAAATACCTCTCTCTTGACTGGTTAATAATGACCTACTTTAGTTTAAATTTTTATGGCTGCATTTAGTTTCCAATATTTTTTTTTTTTAAACAAGCGAGACTACTTCCCTACTAATTTTATCATTTGCACTTTTTTTCTGTGTGGCCAATGTGTCATTAAGTATTTTTGTGGTCAGTGAAGGAAAGAAATGTCTTTGTTTACTTCTACTGCATGCTTCATTGTTCTCAGCAAATATCTATCACTTGCTCTTCCATTGCTTTAGTACCCATGTCTATAAATATGTATTAATTTCTTATTTTTGTCTTGCATCTCTTCAAGGGAGAGGCCAAAGGTGCTGGACTGGATTCCATCCATGATACTTCACAGGAAAGAAGGGGAATGGAACAACATACTGACATCCTTATGTTGATGTTAACAGCACAAAAGGATGATTATTATTAATCTTTTCCAAGCAATACCCAAGCCTCTATAAAACAGCAACAGATACAATACAACCAACCTGTATTTCTAGAAGAAGTTGTTTCTTCTTTTCTTGAATGCTCCGAAGCAACTCCTTTTCTTCCTCTGTCAGATCTAACACAGAAAATACAATAAACAATTTTCAGTCACTAATGAAACATTCTCATAAATATTTTAAACAAATGTATGCTCCTTTTAAAAATAAAGAAAAAAAATTACAGGAACCATGTGGAAAACGCTAACAAGATACAAAGTGAATCTATTAGCATCTCTAGTATAAGGCAATTTTTACTTTATTTTATCTGAAGCAATTTTTATTTGAAACTAGTAACAGTTGGGATGTGACTATTATAATAAGGTATTCATTTCTTCTTTTTCTTCTTTCGTTCGCTTGAAATAGTTTATCTGTATCTGAAATGTTGTCTCTAGTATAAACTTCACTATCTTTTGTAATTGTCGGCTCTGTAGCTAAGTCGATGCGAATGCTTCGTAATGACGGGTTCGATCTCAGCTGCAGGCCATGCGCCTTGCGTTGGTTTCGACAGTGGTATCAAGAAAGCTGACCATCCAGAAAGCAATGGCAAACAACTGGACGTAAATTTGCCTAGAAAAACCAAACAACAGCCAGGGGCTGTTAGGGTTGGTTCTGCAACGTCCTGTAAAGGATACGCAACTAACCTTATCTTTTATAATTCATTTAGCGACCTGTAATGTTTGACTTGCACTGATGTTTCTCTTGGCCACAAGTTTTGCCTTGATATGTTGTATTTGGGACAGTCTTGGAGTACATGATCTGTTGTCTCAGGTGCCAATCCACATGTGCACATTTCTGATTCGCCGATTTTAAATTTTGTGAACATGTGGCTGCGAAGTCGACTGTGCCCTGTTCTGATGCGTAGAAAAATAACTTGCTCTGATCTGTCCATAAAATGGTAATCGTCTCGTGCTGGTTTTGGTTGCTTTCTGATTGATTTGATTATTCTCTTATTTTGCTGATAAAAGACTGGTACGTCAGGCTGTTCTTCATTTGCACTTTCCTTTGCTAGTTTATCAGCTCTTTTATTTCCAGAAACTCCACAGTGGGATGGTATCCACCGTATAGTTACCTTACACTGACTGCCTAGATTGGAGAATAGTGTTCGTATACCAGGTAGTTTTCAAGACTGAAGTGCCTGAAGCACCGTTCTTGCATCTGTCAGAAATACCACGGGTTGTGAAATATGACCTAAATTTAACAGTTTCTCTGGTGCTATTTTTTATGACTTGAACTTCTGCATCATAGTTGTGACAGTACTTTCCTGTAGGTATTTTGGCTGTATATCTGGTACTATTTGGATACTCAATATACACTCTTGCACTTCCATTTCTGCTTGCGTTTTGTGCTGATCCATCCATCAAGTAGAGCGAGGGTGGCTGTTTTAAGTTGCACACTGTTTTGTTTTTCCTTGTTGAATACTCCTTTCACTTCTGACTGGATGTGTATTGGCAACTTATAATCCTCTTTCCAAGGGGTCTGATCTGGAATAGCATTTTAGGGGTTATCAGTTGCAGGTAGATAATTGGTTTACCTGCAGAGTCTGGGGCCTGGTGGATGAAACTGCTTATTTTTGAGTTAGATTATCCTTACAGCACTCTGGACACATCCATAGGCGCTCAGATTCCGCTCAAAACATATTCATCAGCATCGTGCAGTTAATAGTACCAGTCCTATGTTGGTTAACAAGACTTTGTGTGCGTCCAGTGTGCTTCTCATGCTTGGCTGTGCCGATCATTTCTGACCGGCACCAGCACGCTTGCCTTTGTTCTTGTCGCCCGTCGAACGGTTTCCATGAATAAAATTTCAGCACAAGACCCTGATGAAACGCTGATAGGAGACTGGGCACTCGTGCACGAAACTCTGTAACACGGACCAGAAACCCGTTACGCTCTGAAATATTACGTTAAACACATAACTAGTAGCGAAAACACCCTTCGTCCTAACGGATGAAAAAGATGTCCCGCCATTTTGTCTTTTTTTTAGTCGCCCTATTGCTAGATTTTGGAATCTTTCTTACATAGGGTGTTCAGGCATGCTAAGAAATTTTTCTGCTGTATTAGTATCTTAGTGTCTCTTCATTCTGTCAGTGTTTGAGTCCTTGCCATCTTCTCCATCACAGCTAAAGGTGTTGATTTCATCACGCCTGTTATGACTCTGAGCGCTTGATTTTGCACCTTGTCTGATTTTTGTAGTGGGGTTTTTTATGCTGAACTTCATGCAGTAGACCAATGTTCAAGGTGTGGTCGTACATATTGTTGATAAACTTTATTAAGTATTTTCCCATTTGTGCCCCATGTTGTTCCAATTAGTTTTCTTAGGATAGCTTTCTTCCTTCTGGCTTTGGTTACTGCCTTGTTGATGTGTTTTCTCCATGTTAACCTATCATCAAAAGTGACTCCGAGGTATGTTGGCTTCTTATCCTCTCTTAGTGGCATTCTATTTATCTGAATGATGCCTGATTTTTGTTTTGGGGAGAGAGGGAAAAGAGTACACTTGTCTATGTTGATGCTGACACACCATTTATCAGTCCATGAAGCCATTGCATCTATAGATCTTTGAAGCAGTCGAGTGGCCACTCTTGCATATTTATTTGTGCACCATAGTACCAAGTCATCAGCATACATCCCAGCTTTAATACCATGGGGTAGTTCAGCAAATAGGTCGCCGATACAGACCAGAAACAGTGTTGGGGACAAAACACCACCTTGGGGAACACCACAGCGCAGCAAAATTTCTTGCTCTTAAGTCTGTCTATCTGTACTCTGGCTCTTCTGTTAAACAAGTATAATTTCACCCATCTGTACACATTCCCATTCCTAGTTTCTTCATGAGACCTTCTTTCCAGACTTTGTTAAAAACTTTCTTCAAATTTATCAATGCTATAAGCACTAGTTCTGTTCTTGGAATGCATCTTCAATTTCTTGAGAGAGATAAGTTGTCTGGTCTTCTGTAGAGTAGCATCGTCTAAAGCCTGCCTGCTGCAGCATGAAGATGTTTTTACTTTCCATGTACCATTGAAGTCTAAGAATGATGATGTGTTCCATTGTTTTACAGAGACAGCTAGTTAGGCTGATTGGTCTTTAACTGGAGGCATTGGTACTGTCTTTTCTGGTTTTAGTAGAGGTATCATGATTGCTTCTCTCCATATCTGTGGAACTTTGCCACCCCCCCCCCCCCCCCCCCCAACAATTATTAAAAATCTGAAGTAGTTTTGTTTTGGTTGTCGTCTAGGCTCTTGATTATTTCATTGGTTATTCCATCAAATCCAGGCACTTTTCCATTTTCAGCTTCGATTTTGCTCTCTAATTCACTAAACTAAGTGGTGCTTCCATTACCACAGGAATTATATTGTTGTGTCCTGAGTGTTGTTGTTGTTCTCGAACCTCTCGCTGTTTCTGTTGAGTGACATTAATGTTGCTGTCTTCAACTAATAAATCTGCAAAGTGATCTGCCACCTGTTTTTTTTTTTTTTGTATATAAGGATGGCTCCTTTTGAATATCTTGTAGGATTTGCCTTTCTCCCTCTACTCTCATCAATAATTTGTTTTACCAGCCTCCACAGCTTTCTTGTGTCTCTTTCAAAGTATAAAGACTTTTTTTTTTTGGCCAACGTGCCCTTCAAGCCTCCAGCTTGGCTCTTTGAAATTTGGCCTTCGCATGTTGGTATCTGTTGAACAGCTCCTGACAAGGTCTGATTTCGGCGTTCTTTCTTTCCGTTTCCATTTCATTGTGCAAATGTTCTAGGTCACAATTCCAGTATGGTTTATATTGCTTATGTGCGCCTTTTGGTATTGTTTCAAGGGCTGCCTGCAATATACATTTGCTGAACACTTCTACTACTTTGTCTGCATTGTTATTTATGGTATTCATTTAAGATGAACAGTCAGCATGACAAAATATTGGTCACAACAGGCATGTACTATTGACAATATGTCTATTAGTCAACGGTAAGCACACGCTTGTTAACATTCACTTTTTTTTCAATTCCCTGCAATTCCTCTTATCAACTGTGATAAACAGGAAGAGAAAGTTCTTTGCCACGTTCACGGCGCAAGTTGTTATTTACGCTGATAGGCGACTTTGACTGTTGACCTTAGAAATCTGCATGAAGCTGGTCATTGTGGTATCGAAGAGTTGTTGAGAGAGTGTATGGAAATGTGAGGGAGAGAGGAGTAGTGGGTGCATTTGGGAGGAAAAGGGGGAGGGGGGGTGAGGACAGATTTCAGGCGTAGTGGCAGATAGGGACTGACCTACATTTTATAGACTACCCAGAGGTTAACATCACGCCAACTGCCTTCAATTTCCAAGACCTTTCCTGCCAGCCATTTAAGGTGGGTCGACCTGAGAGTGAAGTTCATTTTTTAAAAGTCAGACCTGAACCCATGACTTTTGGATCCACGGGTGAGCAACTAGCTGCTACAACATGGCAGTTCCATGGTTTTTCAGTTTATTCCTATACTGTGCATTATCTTCTTCTTCTTCTTCTTCTTAGCGTTCACCAGCTGTACACTATGGCGGAAAGTTCTGGTTGTTCGTCCACTTCGGAACTGCAGTCCTGCTCCAGAACCTGAGTGTTGCCTGTGCATCAGTTTTACAGATCTGATTCATCTGAATGCAGACTGTTGGTTCCTTGCCTCTCAGGCAGATGCACTCAGACTTCAAAGGAAGCTCCCCAGTTAGTCGACTCTTACGACATGCTTTTGGGGAGGCAGTGGGTCTATTCTTGTTTTCCGCACAATAGGGCCCCGGAACCCACACGGGGGATACTGTGCATTATAATTATATAGTCTGCATAAAATATGGATATTGATGTATCTTCTACTAACTACTAAATCAGTCGACACAGCAGACCTTAGGTTACAGGAGGTGAAATAACTGCTGTGGTCCCCTTTTTCATATATACTATATAAATACAAATAAAAATTATTAATAACTATAAATATCCTTCAGCATGAAGATTGTCTGACTGTCTGTAGTCAAAGGTTAAAGTTGAGGAAGTCAGCTCTGTTTTAGTTTAGTTACTAATTATAATATCTTCTTTAAAAAAGTAAAAGTGGGATAATTACAATAAAATATTAATAAACATGTAATCTATTTACTATTTACTAATTACTATTATTTACATGGCCATTATATGATTTGATTTAGAAAGAAATTGTATGTTAGACATCTTGAGGTTCCAAAGTTTAATTTAAATCAAAATTATTAATAAGTAACCAATTTAATATTAATAATTATTAATATGGACAAAACAACAATAAGCATAAAGTTATAACAGTCATTAGATTAGTATGTTATTCATATTACCTAGACTTAGCTCTTTTAAAATGTAATAATTTAATAACCTACTTTAACTTACTTATACAATGGACTAAAGGATCTGATAATTAGTGGATGATAACAGTATACTATAACTATAACTTAACACACAGTGACTCGACGGCCGACGGAGGTCAATGAGTAAGTTAGTTTAATTAACTTGCCAAGTAGATGAGATGATAGATCTCGAAATAAGGAACCACAGCATACAGATAAAAAGTGTAAACCTTACCGTTTATGTTGAAATTGTTCCCTTGTATTTGTTCCATCCTGTGAATATAAACTGAATGTTCCGACACGAGAAGTCATGGAATACAAGAACATAAATTACCAACAAGGCAAGGGACCACAAACTGCCGTTCCTGCCCACTTCCTTTCTTGTTGTCGTCCCTGTCCCTACTGTTTTCCCCGTATACGTAAATGCGGACTAGGATTCCTGGTAATGTTAAAAGCTAACTAGAATGAGATATAGAATCAGTCATCTTTCCAATTAACTCTTTTAGTACGGACAGCTGTTAATTTAATACAGTCTTCTTCTTTGCGTCCACCGGCTGTAAACTCCGGCGGAAAATTATATTTATTCGTCCCGTTTTCCAGAACTTGAGTTCTGTGTTTACATCCGTTATTCAGATCTGGCTTACTTGTATATAGGCTGCTAGTTCCTGGCCTTTCGGGCATAGGTACGCCTATTCTGAACAATTCTTACTTCGAATGAAACACGTCATATTGCTTTGCTTAAAACGCCCCAACATGGGACGCCTTTTTTGTTTAATTTTCAAACCCCACCCAGCTGTCCCTAGTGGACCTAATATAACATAACAGTTGTACGGGATTTCTGGGACTTGTATAGACTTGGGTGATTCGCATCCGAATTGTGAAACTTTGTGTCACTGGGTGTTTGTCGCTCGTTATGCAGTTCTAGTTGAGTTGAGCCACACTCACCCACTCAGGAAACGCAGAAATTTCCGTAGTCTCATTTTACGGTATGCTTGTTAGTGGCAGTGGGTCTACCCCCACCCCTTTTCCGCCATGGCATCCCGGAACCCACATTCAGCTTATGCGAGTGGTTTTAATTTTAAATAACTGCTTTGATTTAAAACATTAGAATAATGGCAATTAGAACACGGAGGATAAAATCAACAAGCAGGATAGATACCGTAGTAAGATAAAATGGTGCTTCCCAAAATCACTTTATCAATTCCTAAAGGTAGATTATACAGTATGATTACTTGAATTATTTTAAAAGTACACTTGAAATGTATTTACTTAACTATAAATACTCCTACCGTCTGCTACAGTTAGTGCCTAATCTATGCAATATTAAATAACCAAAAGCAATTTACAAGCTCAGATGTCGATTCGTAATTCAACATTCAAGCAATTTACATGTATAAATATCCAATGTCACACACACACACACAAGAATCGCTGCCTAGCCCCGTTACAACTCAAATAGGCTGAACAGGACATCGTTGTTGAAAATACTACTACCACTATTTCTGCTGCTACTACTACTACTACTACTACTACTACTACTACTACTACTACTACTACTACTACTACTACTACTACTACTACTACTACTACTACTACTACTACCACTGCCATTACTACTACTACTACTACTACTACTACTACTACTACTACTACTACTACTACTACTACTACTACTACTACTACTACTACTACTACTACTACCACTACTATTACTACTACTACCACTGCCATTACTATTACTACTACTACTACTACTACTACTACTACTACTACTACTACTACTACCACTACTACTACTACTACTACTACTACTACTACTACTACTACTACTACTACTACTACTACTACTACTACTACTACTACTACTACTACTACTACTACTACTACTACTTGCGAATGTTACAAATTAACATTTCTGTTTTTAAATATTTGTTTATTCGAAGAAATAATTTGTCACACGGGTTTGAAGTTTGAACTACAGATCAACATCGTGGCACATTATAGTAAGCCATTATGCAGTAACCCATAAGTGACCCGTTCTTCTTCTGTCTGAGTCCGAAAAAGCTCAGCACAGTGCACAGGCGAGGCTCCTGAAATAATTTGTGTAGATTTGTAACTCCAAATGTTGCCCGGGTAGTGCCATTAGGATACTCTTTTCAATTTCCAACGTGCGCAACAATGCACACGGGCGTCCAAACTTACTAGCCAGAGACCAGGGGAAACTATTATAAGTCCACGTGGAAACATCCCAGACTTCACCAGGGCCTAAACCATAACTCTAGACCACTCCGCCCCCCCCCCCCCCCCCCAATTCCTCTATCTCCCCATGTTGATCAAATTACAAAGTAACAAGTTACGAATTAACCAGAATGAGATATGGGAACTGCCATTTTCTCCACTGAAGACAATCTACTTTGTGGAAAATCAGCGTTGCAGCTAGAGAACCTTTATCTGTTTATAACAATGATACAGCAACATTAAAAAAAAAATTTTAATAGCTGGGATTTTGTGTAGGCCTAATTATTTTCATAATTATATTATGTCTGTGTCGTACGCTGATGAAGATATTCTAGTTGCAACGTTCAATTTTTTTTTTTTGTTTTTTTTTTTTTTGTACATTATTGTGATATTGTGAAGTTGATTAGTTTTATTTCTCGTTTGGGTTGACATTTATGCGTAAAATAATTATTTAATAATTGGAAAGTTTATCTCCCACCCCCACCCCCCCCCCCCTTCTTAATCATCAATATCATCATCCCCTAACACTTCGTGTCGTTGGGTCATCTGTTGCTGTTGCCTATCTGATCAGCTACCTCCAGCTTTGAAGGTCAGTTGCAATGGACTTCATGTTTGCATGCCTTAGGTCTGTTCAACCAGTCAATGTCTGTATCCAGAGCTTTCTTGGTCTGCCTCTTCTCCTCTACTGGGCCCTGTTGTATTGTCGTCGAAAGACCGTTAGATCTAGTTACATGTCCGTACAGACCCCCTCCTGTCCCCTACTGTAGTATATAATCATCATCAGTTCTCGTTATGCCTAGTGGCACATGAGGCTTCAGAGAGGACTTTCCATGCTTTCCTGTCCTGTGCAATCTTCAATGCAGTTTTCCATGTCAAAGATGCCGCACTCAGGTCACTTTCCATCGTTCGTCTCCATGTTGTTTTTGGGCGCCCCTGTTTTCTCTTTCCCTCTGGTGTCCATGTGAGAGCTGTTTTGGCAGGTATATCAGAAGTCATTCTCATAACGTGGCCAAGCCATTTCCATCTTCTCTTGGTAATCATACTGTCTAGAGTTTCTTGGTTTGTGGTTTGAAGTAGTTTAGTGTTTGAGATTGTATCTGGCCAGAAAATTTTGATAATTCTACGTAGACATGTGTGGTGGAAGGTGGACAGCTTGTATGCATCCTTTTTGGTCATTCTCCAGCATTCCGCTCGATAGAGAAAAACTGGCAAAATGATGCTCTTGTAGAGTCGGAGTTTCGTTCCTCTGCAGTAATTGTTGGATTTCCAGATTTGCCTCATCCTTCCAAAAGCAGCTCTAGCTTTGTTCAGGCGTGACTGTATGTCTTCCTCTGTCCCTCCCAGTAGGGACACCACGTAGTATACAATATGAAAGCATTATTCCCAAAATATATTAAAGCTAACATTGAAAGTTAAAAGTAAAGGATCATTTTTCACACCTTCGGGCGTACTGGGCTAAACCTATATTTTATAGACCAATCGGCACTTGGTGGGTCATGTGGTCAACATCACGCAGGCCGCCTTTACGTCCCAGGACTGCGCCAGGTATCCACTCAAGACTTGATCGACCTGGCAGCCAAGGTCATTGTTATAAAAAACCCAGTTCTGACAAGACCCGAACTAACGACCTTCCGATCTGCAAAAGATATCGTTAGTGTTGACAAAATGCGTATAATTCTAAAACTAGTAGTAGTTAAAACACACACACACACACACACACACACATCACCGCATATGCTTGTGTGAGTATGATTATTGTATGTTTGAATGTATATATTTATTTTCCGTGTTTCGTGTTTTTAATCTATTTTTTTTTAAATCCAGAAACCATGAGTTGTAAACCCTTTTGCCTCTGTACTATGGATACCGCATGGTATTGATTCCATGATAGGTACCTTAAATCTGGGTAACATGTGGCTTTTCTGCCCACCCCCGGCGTGAACCCGGACCACAAGGAGTTTGTCACCCGGTCGCCGCGCAGCTAGTTTACCCAACCGAGCTAGTGTGTCGGGGGTTTTAAAACTTATACTCAAACCATATTCTCCTTGTTGAAGGCATCTTATTTTAAACATCAGTCAAGCAACTTTACAAGACTACATGGTACAATTATACATCGTTTTATTTATTAATGTTTTAACCACGGCTGACTCTATTTATATACAGATAGGCGTGATTTTAACTAATTTATTTAATAAGTGGTAGCAGATTTAAGTTTTTGGGAAATAGTTACAGAATCATCATCAAGTACCTTGACGACTAGCGTGGGCGATCATGCCTCTCCACATTCTGCAACTGCGTAGATCGGTTTGTGTGTTGACACCCCTCCATGCCATGACAAGACTTGTCAAAAATCTTCTCTCGCTGTCTTCTTCTGTCTCTCTTTCCACAGATATTTCCAGTGGTTACAACATGTCCCATTTTTCCCTCTTCTCATAACCTGAGCAAAAAAATATGTCTGTCTCTTTCTGATATTTGTGATAAGTTGTCCATCGAGCATTCGCCTTTTTCCAAATATCTGGGATTGTCTTCTTAGCTGTCCAAGAACTTCTAAGGATTTTTCTGTAAAACCAAATCTCCGAGGTTTCAACATATTGTTTGGCTTGTTTATTAATTGTCCAGGCTTCACAACCGTGTGTTAAAACTGGCACTATATAGATGCGATAATTTATTTCATTACCTCCAATCACATAAATTTATTGCATAAAATGTTCTTCATGTTCTTTATTTCAGAATAATAATGTAGCAGGTCCTTTGCAGAACGTCGCTCTCATCACGGTCTGCCTGAAAGAAACTCGGTCTCTTACCAGCTCTCCCGCCTCATGTACTTTCATACTCAAGGAGTCACTTACATCATATGCTCATCTTCAAGTCGGTCGGTTCCTGCCACTCTTTCCTGGTACCATGCCCTCTACTATAATTTTTTTCCAATTCGTCGTGGCGCTTGATATGACCCAAATATTTCAGCTTGCGAGATAGAATGCTGTTTATTAGCCAATACTCCTTGATGTTCAGATGTTTCAAGATGTCTTTATCACAACAGAATACGAAACTATATTGAACACCAATGAAACGACTTCAACCTCTGACCTTACAGGTGACTAGAACAACGTTGGAGAGAAACAACTGAAGAAGTCGGGGACTGGCACGCCTCCTAAAATAATCAAATGTGGCTCACACCCAGCTCTATTTTAACAATTTTAGGTACAGTTAGCAGTAGTTTTAACTATTTATTGAGTTCATAAACATCGTATGCATGAAAACATCGCACTGTTACTGTGGTTTATCAATTTAAATTGGTAGTGAAGCAAGTGCAAGGAGGAGCAAAGAAAAGACGAGATCACGAAATAGTACAGATGTTTATAAACAGCGCTATCTCAGTTATGGAAGTCGAACTTATATATATAATAAATGTGCACTTATTTATGATATACGATATGAGGTCTGATATTTTCGTAAAATTACATTTGCTGAATTTCCAGTCGGATATAGTTGTACTGTAAGTAGTACTTAAAGTACTAACGGCAAGGTAGTACTTCCGCTTGTTAATAGCTTTTAGTATTATTATTATTAACACACTTCACACACTGTTGATGTAGCGTACAGTCTAAACCCTTACGGTGTCCTTACAGTACAGTATCATAAAATAATATCTTGTATGTCTAAATTTAGTGTAGATAGGCAAATGTGGCGGCTGTCTATTCAGCTTTATTCCATCAGTCATCTTTATTTCATGATGATGGAGAATAAATGTAAATTCTCATTTTTGTTTTTCAAGTTTAAACCATGTAACAGTAATGTATGTCGTTTTACAAGAAAGCAAAGGTCTTTTGCACTCCCTGTATCTCATGTATGTGGTCAGCCAAGCCAGGCATCTTCTCTACATATGTAAGTCACCACAGAAGATGTCCGACGGGACTCTCCCATCCCCAGTCCTCCAAGTGCATGTTCTGTCCATCTAAGCCTTTGCCTTTGAAGACAAAGCTTTAAAAAAACTGTTGTGATAACAATCCTTTTCAGTATCTCAGTATTTATGATATTTTACTGCAGACTTAATATCAGTTATTTTCCATAGATGTCGCCAGTGATACAGTGTACAGTTAGTTGCTTATCCTTTACAAGACATTGCAGAAACAACCCCAGCATTTGTTGGCTGTTTCAATTTTACTGGGCACATTCAGTAGTTTGCCATTGCTGACTGAACCATCGACTCTCAATGCCACTGTTAAAATCAATGCAGAGCTGTCTGCTGCTAAATCCCCACAGCTGGAATCGAACTGGGTGCTTGAGAATATTAGTGCATTTGCACCACCTAAGTCACATATGCCGACATGCAATGTACAAAGTGTACACACAGTGTACAAAGTATACACACCGTATACAAAGTATACACACCGTATACAAAGTATACACACAGTATACAAAGTATACACACAGTATACAAAGTGTATTATGTTAGGTATGGCTTTGATAAAACAATCCACTTGTCATTGTTTATTGTGAGCATTACTCTATGAGTTATCAGAACTGGTTGGAACATAATGTGTTTAAATAGCAGACATGTATAACTTTACTTGCTGCTGGCTGAAGGTCTTAGGCTTGATTCTGCATTGGGTGAAATTTTATTGTCTATGGATCAATCCAGGAAATAACCTGGGAAGTTAAGTGGCCGGTGTGATGACGACCACATCACCCCTCAATTGTTGATGGGTCGATAAAAATGTGTGACTAGCATCACATGGCCGATGTCTTGAGAAAGGACCTTTACCTTTTCCTCGTACTTGCTTTTGTATAATTTATGCAGACAGTCACTAAATGTTACAGAATTTAACAGATGTCTTTGTTTCAAATCTAGATGGCACTTCTTCCATCTGAGTAATGAAATCATGTTTGAGGCAGTGGTGAGCATTGCAGCCCTGCTGTGCTTGGTTCTTGTGGTGCTTGGCTGTTTGGATTGCTTGTTTAAGAAAAAACAATTTGAGGTTTGTTGGATGTGTGTTTCTTGATATATTTTTTGTGCTAATCACAGAATTGTTGAGATGTCTTTTGTTGGCAGCCCAGTGCTCTTTTTAGGAAGGTCTTATCGAAAGAGCCATTAAATTGTGTTTTCCAGGCACTTGAATGGGGAGAGCTCTCAGGCGAGGCATGTGCTTAGGAATGTAAGAGCTTGCTAAAAATGTAGATATGCTTAATTAAAATTGAAAACCAGTACAGTAATACCCTAGCTTATGAACTTGATTTGTTCCTGATTGTGGTTCATACATCTAAAAGTCTTAATTTTTTTTTAAAATACAGCTTTTTATGTCCTACCTGACCTTTATGTCTGTTAAATATTTTTTAAACAATTTTTATTTTTATTTTCCAACTTGTTTGATAATTTGATGTTTATTTCTCTAATTTAAGGCATTTGAAATTCGAGATGGTTCACATGCCCAGCATAATGCAGCGTTCTCCGTGGATATTTTTGATGCTGATAACATTTCAGACCAGGTTATTATTGAACCCTTGCCAGACATTTTGTCCAAAGTTGCAGTTGCACCCATCCTGCGTCCTCGAATGACATGTACCGAAAGGGGGAAACAAGAGGCCACATTATCTCTTTTGAGTGAGTATTATCTACAAATGGTACCAACCAGTTTGATATTCTAGTTTGTGTAGTCATGTAAAATATAATTGCTTGGGACTCAGTGAAGCCTGTGAATAAGAGGGAAACATGTAGGCAACTGTCAATCCCTGGGGACCTTTGTGCCGCTAGTTTTGGAAACTGCGTCTGCTATGATTGTAATGTCCAGTGCAGGAGTGTAAACTAGTGGTCTCTAACCTGGGTAGAGCGCCCCCTTAGGGGGAAAGGGGGAGGTTTCAAGGGGGTTTCAAGCAGTTTTGAAATTAAGTACATTTGTACTTATAATCCAGTTACTAACATTTTTTTGTCAGTTTAATTGTAATTAGTTCAGTAAAGTCAGGGAGACCAAAGAAATACCAGCAGACTGGAGAGAAGGATATCTTGTGAAACTGCCCAAAAAAGGTGTTCTACAGGAGTGCGAAAACTATAGAGGAATTATGTTGCTGTCAGTTCCTGGAAAAATATTAAGTAGAATTATTTTGGAAAGATTAAAAGATGCTATTGATAAAAAGCTAAGAGATGAGTAGGCAGATCCTGTACTGACCAGATAGTCACATTACGTATTATAATAGAGCAAAGCATTGAACTGAACTCACCACTTTACATTGGATTTATAGACTATGAAAAAGCATTTGACAGCATTGATAGGGAATCTCTCTGGAAATTGATGGGGCACTATGGAATCCCACAGAAAATTATCAACTTAGTAAAGGCAACATATAAAGACATGAAATGTCGAGTTCTTCATGAGGGAAAGCTAACAGATGTATTTGAAATAAAAACAGGTGTGCGACAGGGATGTCTTTTGTCGCCTCTCTTTTTTTTACTGGCTATAGACTGGACTATGAAAACAGTAACTGCTAACACCAAGAATGGAATTCAGTGGACCCCTACAAACAGCTTGATGATCTGGACTTCGCTGATGATATTGCTCTTCTGTCCCATTCACGGAATCAGATGCAAGATAAATTAAATATACTTGATGTGAGATCACAGCAGCTTGGTCTGAAAATCCATAAAGGAAAGACAAAGATAATGAGAATAAATCAGGCAAATAGTAATGTGGTTTCTCTTAATGACACCACACTCCAAGACGTGGAGTCGTACACCTCTTTGGGCAGTAATGTAGATAAAGATGGAGGAACTGATAGAGATATTAAAATAAGAATACAAAAGGCAAGAGGGGCTTTCATAGCACTAGGGAATTTGTGGAGGTCAAAAGAAATTAAAAGAAATACTAAACTAAACATTTTTAATTCTAATGTCAAATCAGTTCTATTGTATGGGGCGGAAACATAGAGAACAACTAAGACAATTACTAATAAATTACAGACACTCTTTAACTGGTGCCTGCGCAGAATAGAGGGAATTAAATGGTATGATAGAATAACTAATGTAGAACTTTGGGAGAGAACTAAACAGGCTTTAGTGGACCAAGAGGTGAGGAAAAGATGCTGGCGTTGGATAGGATACACACTGAGAAAACAGGAGGACAGCATAACTAGAATGTCTTTGCATTGGAACCCACAGGGGCATAGGAATAAAGGAAGGCCAAAAAACACATGGAGAAGAGAGCTGGAGAATGAAGTTAGAAAGATGGGAAGGACATGGGGAGAGCTCCATGCAATGGCGAAGGATAGAACGACTTGGCGTGTGTTGGTTGAGAGCCTATGCTCCATTGGGGGATAGAAAGGCAGAAGAAGAAGAAGAATTATAATCAGGTTTAAAAAAAATAATTTAAAACAAAAGGCCAATTTTTTTTTCATGGGCAGTTTATACAGGTACCTGTAAACATGTTATTAATATGATAACATGCATTTAACAGTTTAGTTATGTGAACTGGCCACAAGAAATGGAACTTAACAGTTTAGTTATGTGAATTGCCCAGGAGAAGTGAAACTCAATAGTTCAGTTATCTAAACTACCCAGAAGAAGTGAAACTCAGTAAGTAAGTAAGTAAGTAAAGTAAAGATCCTTTTTCACGCCTTTAGGCGCATCGGGCATATGGGAAGAGCACCCATCTTCTTACAGACCAATCGGCACTAGGTGGGTAATGTCAGCATTACGCCGGCCGTCTTTACTTCCCCAGGACATACATCCTGGTACCCATTTTAGGCTGGGTTGACCTGCAACGCCTCATACCATGATAAAAATCCACGCAGCCCGCAGTGGGTTTCAATCATGGTACATAGGAATTACGAGTCAGACTCGCAACGCCTAAGCCGCGGACACAGCTGAAACTCAGTAGTTCAGTTATGTAAACTATCCAAAAGAAGTGAAACTCGATAGTTTGTTCATCTGAGCTGTCTATAAAAAAAAAACCCAGCTGTTTTGGTATGCAAACTATTTAGAAGTCGAACTTAACAGTTCAAGCATTTGAACTACCCAGGGGAGGTTACAATTAGCATCCCAGGTCTCCAGTAGTTTGTGCGTAGTTTTACAAACATGAAACTGAACACTGCATCAGTCACTGTTACTCCCACCAGGAATTTTAATTTTTAAATATGTATTGAAATAATTTAACCTTAAGATATCACACAATGCTAAAGTTATTTATGTTTAAATTTTTTTTTTTTTTTTAGTTTAGTCCTCATGGGGGACCAAATTTGTCATTATTTTGAAGCCCCACCCTGGTTGGGGTTAAGGGCCCTAATTATAACCCTACAGGTTGAACAGAGTTTCTGGAACCTGTCCCCAGGTGATCCTCATTAGAATGGTGGCACTTTGTGTCACTGGGTTTTTAACATTTGATGTGATGTCCTGGTGGGGCTGAAGGTCATCAGTCAGTTTTTGTTGAATTTTTAAAATTGTGTTCCTTCTCCACAATGAAGGTTGGCTTTATTTTACTCACTGTTGCCTTTGGGAATCTAAAGTTTCAGTCTCTTCCACAGTGTAACTCTCTTACCATTATCTGAAAACGAAGACAGTAGTTACAAAAAAAAAAAGCTTAAAACCACAGATAACGAAAATAAAACCCTAGTACTTCCCCATGTGGGTTCCGGAGCCACATTGTGGGGAAAAACAATAGTAGATCGACAGCCTTCCCAGCAAGCATGTCATAAGAGTTGACTAATTAGGTGTTTCCTTCAAAGTCGAAGTGCATCTGCCTGACATGCAAGGAACCAACAGTCTGCACACAAATAAGTCATACCTGTAAAATGGATGTGCACACACCACTGCAGCTCTGGAAAAGTCTATAAAGTCCCGAGGTGGATGAACAACCAGAGTTTACAGCCTGTGAACACGAAGAAAAAGAAGAACCCATAGTACGTGAGTATCATCAAATTTTTAAATAATTCCCTAACCTCTGAGCTACAGAACCACACTTTGTTTACATTACACAATGTTAGAGTTTGCTTGCTTTATTTGACAATGTATTTGCACAAAATACACTATGGTTTTTTTTGTGTGTGTTAATAGGTGTCCAGCGATCATTTCCAAGGAATCGTGTGACATATCTGAAAGAGATAGGTTCAGGATGGTTTGGAAAGGTGATTATTGCCATTTCGCATGATAGCATTCAGTGATGTTGCGTAGTGCCTTTTGTTACACAAGGTTTGATTTTTGTAACTGAAATATGTAGGTTACTGAGCATCAGTCAATGTTTTGATCATCTGAGGATCAGTAACTTTTGTCAGTAACATCAGAGAAACCCCTTTAGGGTGGGGATAGACCCACTGCGCCCCCCCCCTCCCCCCCCCCCCATCACAAGCATGTCTTAAAAGACAACTAATTAGGCTTGTTTCCTTTAAATTCAGAGTACACCTGCATGAGAGGTGAGGAACCAACAAACTGCATACAAATAAGTCAGTTGTGTAAAACAGATGTTCATGCAAAATTCAAGTTCTGGAACAAGATCAAAGTCCGGAAGTGAACATTCCACCAAAGTTTAAAGCAGGAATACTAATATGAAGAAGTTGCCAGGCCACTGTCTCAATTAGGTTCAGAGCCATAGAGTTTATACTACTGCTGCTATTTTTAAAACCATTACCATCTTATCTCTACTATCTTCTCCACCACACAACTTTTACTGTTGTTTACGGCCATTGATTCTATAATGTTGTTGTCTAAGGCCATTGAATCGGAAGCTGTTCACATAGTGACTGAGAGTGATGCCAGTCATGTTGTGGTCAAGATGCTCAAAGATGATGCTTCTAAGTTGGAGCAGAAGCAGTTTATGGAGGAAGTCAATGCATTTAGGTTAGTTTTTTTGTTAATAATAACCATTTTATAAATTTCAAATATTTTATTATATCTATTTGCCATTCTTCTTCTTCTCCAGCATTATAAGCCCTTGAGGTTCATTACTGCAGACATCACTTGCCTCCATTTGCCATTCGGTATAAATAATAATATAAGTGAAGAAAACACCAGGACTTTCTGTTGGAGTTTACGGCCAATGAGTGCTAAGAAGTAAAAAGTATTCAGGCATTCAGTTAAACTACTTTTAGTATGATGATGATGATGATTGATAGCAGCTGTCACAGGGGCACTTGTGTAACTGGCAGAACAGAAAAAAAAACATGCACTGATAGTGACAGACTCAGTTGACATGCTTAAGATATCCAAACTGGCAAACTGTAACAAGAATGAGTTGACGACATCCAGAAGTCTCACTTCAAGAAACCATTTTGGCTGTACACGCCAGGACATGCTGGGGTGAAAGGAAGGAAAGAGCTGACAGATTGGCCATGTCTGTATTAGCTAGTGGAAGAAGAAGTATTTATGGGGCAGACATACCAAATGGGCTGCATTCCAGGAACGTTAAGACAAAATGATTCAGATACAGTGGACTGTCTGTTGGAAACAGGTATTAAATATGTACAAGCTGGCAGAAACCAGTTTTGGGATAAAGAAAGAAGATGAGCTGGTCAGCCCCTGCAGGGTCAAGAAAGAAGATGTGCCAGTCAGCCCCTGCAGGGTAAAACAAGAAAATGCGCCAGTCAGCCCCTGCGGGGTAAAGAAAGAAGATGAGCCAGTCAGCCCCTGCGGGGTAAAGAAAGAAGATGTGCCAGTCAGCCCCTGTGGGGTAAAGAAAGAAGATGCGCCAGTCAGCCCCTGCGGGGTAAAGAAAGAAGATGCGCCAGTCAGCCCCTGCGGGGTAAAGAAAGAAGATGTGCCAGTCAGCCCCTGCGGGTTACAGTGAGCATGAAAACACTGAAGTGTCTGCTGCATCAGAGGACCGAGCACAGATGGGTTAGACCGTTGTTCTAAGATGTTGATGTGCTAGGATGTTGATGTGGGTAACTCGTAACAAGCTTATCTCTTATAAATGTGACATAATAAAATGTGTAAACAGGTGAAAATACTGATTTTCTGTTTACCCACTTTATTTATCATTAACAGTACAGGACCCTTTTCCACACCTTCTAGTGCATTGGGCGTATAGTGCTAGACCTATATTTTATTGATTAATCAGCACTCAGCTGGTGATATGGTCGCCTCTACTTCCCAAGACTTTACCTGGTACCCATTGAAGGCTGGGTCTACCTGGGAACCAACATCTTAAAAAAAAATTTTTTCCTTTAAATTTGTGAATATTATAGCAGTGTGATGTTTACTACTCTGTTTCTGGGGCTCATACAGGAAGTTTCTTTTGCGTTCACTCTCACCACATCCAATTTCAGCAACACTAATAGTTGCTGTTTGTGACATGCTTGTCAGAAGATACTGGGACAGTTTTTTGTTAACAGGTTGTGGATCATTTTTGTGTTTTGTTATTTTTTGGGGGTTAGAGGGCAATGGGCCTGTTCTTTTTTTATTAGAAGGCAGTGGATCTATTCCTTATTGTTAGAAGCCAGTGAGCCTATTCCTTATTGTTAGAAGGCAGTGAGCCTATTCCTTATTGTTAGAAGGCTGTGAGCCTATTCCTTATTGTTAGAAGGCTGTGAGCCTATTCCTTATTGTTAGAAGGCTGTGAGCCTATTCCTTATTGTTAGAAGGCAGTGAGCCTATTCCTTATTGTTAGAAGGCAGTGAGCCTATTCCTTATTGTTAGAAGGCAGTGAGCCTATTCCTTATTGTTAGAAGGCTGTGAGCCTATTCCTTATTGTTAGAAGGCAGTGAGCCTATTCCTTATTGTTAGAAGCCAGTGAGCCTATTCCTTATTGTTAGAAGCCAGTGAGCCTATTCCTTATTGTTAGAAGGCTGTGAGCCTATTCCTTATTGTTAGAAGCCAGTGAGCCTATTCCTTATTGTTAGAAGGCAGTGAGCCTATTCCTTATTGTTAGAAGGCTGTGGATCTATTCCTTATTGTTAGAAGGCAGTGGACCTATTCCTTATTGTTAGAAGGCAGTGAGCCTATTCCTTATTGTTAGAAGGCAGTGAGCCTATTCCTTATTGTTAGAAGGCTGTGGATCTATTCCTTATTGTTAGAAGGCTGTGGATCTATTCCTTATTGTTAGAAGCCAGTGAGCCTATTCCTTATTGTTAGAAGGCTGTGGATCTATTCCTTATTGTTAGAAGGCTGTGGATCTATTCCTTATTGTTAGAAGGCTGTGGATCTATTCCTTATTGTTAGAAGGCAGTGGATCTATTCCTTATTGTTAGAAGGCTGTGGATCTATTCCTTATTGTTAGAAGCCAGTGAGCCTATTCCTTATTGTTAGAAGGCTGTGGATCTATTCCTTATTGTTAGAAGGCTGTGGATCTATTCCTTATTGTTAGAAGGCTGTGGATCTATTCCTTATTGTTAGAAGGCTGTGGATCTATTCCTTATTGTTAGAAGGCTGTGGATCTATTCCTTATTGTTAGAAGGCTGTGGATCTATTCCTTATTGTTAGAAGGCTGTGAGCCTATTCCTTATTGTTAGAAGGCAGTGGACCTATTCCTTATTGTTAGAAGGCTGTGAGCCTATTCCTTATTGTTAGAAGGCTGTGGATCTATTCCTTATTGTTAGAAGGCTGTGGATCTATTCTGTCATTGTTGAAGCGCCGTAGATCAATTCTTTTTTGTTAGAAGCAGTGGGTTATTCCTTTTTGTTAAAAGGCAGGGGGTCAGTTTATTTTTGTTGTTGTTAAAAGGCAGTGGGTCTATTCCTTATTGTTAGAAGGCAGTGAGCCTATTCCTTATTGTTAGAAGCCAGTGAGCCTATTCCTTATTGTTAGAAGGCAGTGAGCCTATTCCTTATTGTTAGAAGCCAGTGAGCCTATTCCTTATTGTTAGAAGGCTGTGAGCCTATTCCTTATTGTTAGAAGGCTGTGGATCTATTCTGTCATTGTTGAAGCGCCGTAGATCAATTCTTTTTTGTTAGAAGGCAGTGGGTTATTCCTTTTTGTTAAAAGGCAGGGGGTCAGTTTATTTTTGTTGTTGTTAAAAGGCAGTGGGTCTATTCCTCCTCCTTCCCCCCTCCCCCTTAAAATTAGGCCCAGGGACCAACACGGGGAAATGAAGCAGAGAATTAGTAACACCAAACTTTAATGCATGAAATAATAGATGATTAATGAAGAAAGACATGAGGCTGGCTCTTTCATGCAAAAGAAGACTTGAGTTGCAAAATTCATCCAATTGTGAACAAATGCTTAGTGATAGTTGATGAGAGCCAGTCCTCCAATGAGAAAGAGAAAAAGATGAAAAGTATGATATTTTTATTTCTTTTTTTATTTGCCAAACTTTTTAGATGTCTGGAGCATGCCAATTTATTGAGCTTCTTTGGCCAGTGCACAGAGACGACACCTTTTCTCGTCATCCTCGAGTTTGCTGCTCATGTGAGTATCATTGAAATTATTTTCTTATTATTCTTTATTGATTGAATCAGAATATAACCTTATTTACAGGTGGCAGTGATTGAGTGTTGAGGGAGGGATAAGGTCCTGCTTCTTGCTCTATTGGCAGCCACGGCCATAACCACATGGTGCTTTTGTAGAGTTTCTTTCGTATTAACTTTCTATCTTGCTCTTGGGCAGCATGATTCTTAAAATCCTTCTTTTCTGTTGGTGTATGCCTTATATGGTTTGGTGCCACAGGGTATTCTTTCTACGTAGACAGACCATTTTATTTGCTATTTGTGTATATTTTTAAATACCTGCAGTTATTTTTTTGTGGCGCAGTGGCACATACTCTTGCCCGTGGCCCGGTGGTCTTATGTTTAAATGTAGGGATGTTTTTAATTTTTTCTGGGCTTCCCAGTCAAGCTAGCTGAAAATGGGCAGCAATAATTATTGTGAGAATTAAAGGTAACCAGCTTAATATTGATCGCATTATCCATCAGGGGCTGATTGGCCTATAAGATTATGGGGGCTAACAGCATATGTTGGGGTCTGTGGCTTAGGGGTTTTCTTCGTGTTCATGGGCTGTAAAACTCTGTTGCAAAGTTCTGGTTGTTCGATAACCTCTGGACATTAGTCTTGTCCCAGAACCTGAGTTTTGTGTGCATATCTGTTTTACAGACCCGACTTACTTGTATGCAGACTGTTGGTTCCTTTCCTCTCAGGCAGATGCACTCTGACTTAAAAGGAAGCACCCAGCTAGTCAATTGTTGGGAAAGCAGTGGGTCTGTTTTTGTTTCCCCCACAATAGGTTCCTGGTACCCACATGGGAAGCTTAGGGGCCTGAATAAAGTATCATAATTCCAACATACCTAGTTTCGCTATAGGCGACCATGTAGTGCTGTTTTGAAATGTAGAAAAGTTTACTTTACTTTATTAGTTAACTGTGTTGTTTTTGCTCGGTCGGATTTGTTTTTTTAATAAGTATTTATAATAATTTTGTCTATTTGTGCATGTTTTTTTTTTTTACAGCTGCTTGAACACAACTTCTTTTTCCTGTTCCTTACATGGCATATCATTGTATTGCTAATTCTTCTTATGCATTCACCCTTTCGAAGGGCACTTGACACATTATTTTGTGGTTTACAGCTAGGCTGCAATATCTGTGCCTTTAGGTCAACACATCTGATTTCAGCCAACCCCTAAAAACCTTGTTTGCTGTTTATGAGAATGCTTGTTAGCAGGGCAGTGTACTTGATGTCCCCCACCCTCCCACACACACCCACACCAGAATTGGGGCCTTAGATCCCACATGGGGAATACTGCTATTTGATTATCATCATTTTGTGTGTTTCAGGGTAATCTGAAGAGTTACTTAATGAAACACAGACATGATGTTGATTCACTTATAGCCTCAAACAGACTTGTTAGTTTTGCCTTGGGTGCAGCATCAGGATTGGCTTGTCTGCACAGACATGATTACATACATAAGTAGGTGTCTTGTTTTGCTGTTTTCTCTGATTAAGCTTTGTTTGTTAGTCAAGCTGCCGAGCCCAGTGGCGTAGTGATTAGTGAGCTTGCCCTACAGCTGCAGCATGATTAGTATTATTATTAACAACCAGTACAGCTCTGGGATTAAGCTAGCCTCTTAAAATGGTTGGCAGGTAGTTTTGATGATTCTGTGGGAATTGCCAGAAAAGGGAATTAATGGTCACACTTTCTTCTTCTCTTCCTCCAGTTACTTCAGCAAAGTGGTTTTTTTTTGTGGGGGGGGGGGGGGAGACGAGTAGGGAGCATGTAATGGTTACCTGTGTGCTCTGTCACCGACGATGGCTTTTGTGCAGTGATGGCTATCAATGATTGACTGTTTACGCCAACAGTAAGGTGCATTTGTGGCGTGGGACTATTAGTAATGGCACATCTTATACATTTTTACTAAGCATTTGCAAGCTTCAAGATTTTGCTAGGGCTAACACGTTTTTCTCTAGTTTTAAAATTGAACAGTGAAGGATGTTTGATTTCCACTGGCACAGGAACAGAGCAGTTATGGGGTGACCTATCTACAGTGAAGTTGGAGCCTCAACTGACAAATATCTGTGTCACCAGGGTAGTCTTGTCAACCTGCACTTATTATGTCATAGTGTATCTGAAAACTCAACACTTAATGCTTTAACAGCCATTGTTTTCCTTGTGACTTAACTTTATAATTCATTCATGTATCATGAATGCTGGTGTCTTTTGTCTACCTAACTCTCAACCCCAGATAGTTTCTTAATTTCTGTCCCAAAGCTTTTTTACCACAAAGCAACAATGTTTTAGTCTTTTTAGAATTTCTTTTTCTTCTTCTTCACGTAAACTGCGGCAGAAAGGTATGGTTGTCAGTCCACTTTTGGACTTTTAGTCTTTTTCAAGAACCTGGGTTTTGTATCTTCATTTGTTTTACTGATCTTTCTTATTTGTTTGCGGACTGTTGGTTCCTCGCCTTTCAGGCAAATGCACTCTGCCTTTGAAGGAAACATCCCTAATTAGTCGAGCCTTACAACATGCTTGTTAGGAGACAGTGGTCATCCCCCCCCCCCCCCCCCCCAACCAAAAGTTGGATCCCAGAGCCCACACAGAAAATTATGGAATTTAAAAGTACAGATCTGGGACAGAAGAAGTTATATTAACAACTGAGAGAAAAAATAAAAACAAAACAAAGAATGAAGCAAGAAAAGTAAGGAACTGTGTGCCTTAGAATAGTAATTTTTCAACATATTGTAAGTTCCCGGGTGCTGAAAAGCTTATGCTACAAATGTCTGAATTGACAGGTTTTTCCCTCCACATTTACCCTTAAAAGGGTATTTGGCTAGTTGTATTGTGGTTTACAGCTAGGCTTCAACATCTGCACCTTTGGTCCAACACATCTGATTTCAGCAAACTCCTAATTATTCACCTTTTTACAGTATATTTGTTGATGACAGTGGGACCATTCTTCTTTCTCTCAAAATGGGACCCTGGAACCCACACAGAGAGATGGCATCCATATTAATTCTTTGCTAGTAGAGACGAAAGAAACCGAACACAACGAGCTGTGGAGAGGAGGCACCGGAGAGTAAAACTGCCTCACAACAAGGGAGTATCTGATTTTGTGTGTATCCTGTGTGGCAAAGACTGCCATTCCCGTATCGGACTTTACAGTCACAGCAGATGCTGTTCCCAAAGCCAGCGGCACATCTCCATTGTCCCCCGGGACTGACGGATGCCATTACCAGAGACCTTTTTCATTGACTTCCTTGCTGGCTCTCCAAGGAAGTTAAGTTCAAATTTAGTTAAGTAGACCTTCCTGTCATGACCAAACCACAGCTTGTGATTTTGGTGATTTTGTGAGATGGTGAAACATGAGCACCAATGTTTATTTTCAGGGCACATGATGATGGGCTATTGTATTCTCATGAGACTAAGTTTTGTTCATTGTTCTGCTACGGTAAAATATAACTGAGTATAATTTTTTTTTAACTTTATGCTTATTTTTGTTGTTAGTTAATCATGTGTTTTTTGTCTTGCATCCAGTGATCTGGCCGCCCGGAACTGTCTGGTCATGTCCGATTATACTTTAAAAATTGGAGACTATGGTATCTCAGACAGTCTGTTTAAGGTAAGTTCTGATATTTTGGCAGTAAATCCTGGAATCAAGTTTGAGCAGGCTCAGCCGCATTAGATTACAAGATCTACAGTAATGATAGAGATTTGAAATTTTTGTGAATAGTGTGAGGCTCAGGTGTCTGTTGATCTGTGCTGGAGCAGTGGTGTTCATGCTTTGTGAGACACTCTTGTCAGGCACTCTTGTCTTGACTTATGTTTCTTCTTCTTCTTCTTCACGTTCCCCAGCTTTAAACTCTGATGGAAAGTTGTGATTCTTTATCCACTTCTGGACTGCAGTCCTGTTTCAGAACTTGAGTGTTGTGTGTGCATCCGTTTGACAGATTTGACTTATTTGTATGCAAACTTTTGGTTCCTTGCCTCTCAGGCAGATGCACTCCGACTTTGAAGAAAGCTCTCAGCTAGTCGACTTTTAAGACATGCTTGTGGTAGGCAGTGGGTCTATTCTTGTTTTCCCTATAACACGGCCCCGGAACCCATATGGGGAATAACTGTTTAAACATGCAGATAGCAATGGGTCTATTCTCCCCACCCTTTCCCCCAAATGGGGTCCCAGAACCAATACAGGGACAGGTGGAGGATAACATCATAAGATGAACAAACAACAGGAGAGGAATGTACAGCCAAGGCTACAGACAAGGAGTCTTGTAAACTCTTTGCAGGTCATCTTTGTGGAGATGTCATGGCACCTGGTGAATTGACATGAGTAAATATCATCATTTGGTTTTGATACAACACCATCAGTACTTCTTCTGAGTTTGCCTTTAAGCTATGGTTGATACATTATGTTGCGGTTTACAGCTAGACTGATATCCAGTTTCAGCGAACACCTTATTTGTGACATATTTCTTATGGGGCTGGGGTCTTATTCTTTTTTTCCCCTTCAAAATGGAGGCCCCACAGGAACCCAGTGAGAGCCCACACGGGGAACTTCTTTGTTTGCTTCCTCTTTTACCACACGGGAAACACCATCAGTAAACAAATTCCCCCTTGCAGACACCTGCAGCAGTTCAAATTGCCATTACGATAGTTGACGCTTACATGTAGATACAAGTGCATTGAACAGACTGTTGGTTTCTTCATGTTCTGAATGCAGGATGAGTATTTCAACACTGGCAGTGAGTTGCTACCTGTGAGGTGGATGGCACCAGAGACCCTTGTCCAGATGGATGGTGTTTGGACCTCTCAGAAGAGTAACAAAATGTCAGATATGTGGTGAGTCCTCATAAAACCAGTGCTTACAATCTTTTAATTTCTTACTTCTGGTAAATACCAATCTAAATTTTAGAACCAGATTGTATATTTTCAGTTCTAACGGGAATTCAGTTTTTACTGTAAAGGTCACTGATTGAATTATAATAGACAGTGAAGTTCATACTAGAGACAACATTGAAGATAAAGGTAATCTATTTCAAGTGAAACCAAACAAGAAGAATACATTTCTAAAGACATCAAACGAAATAGGAAATAAAGGGATTAAGAAAACAAGAACTTCCAAGAAAAACCCTAAGGTGAACATTGATGAGAGTAGCCAAAGGTGCTAGACTGGATTTCATCCGTGGTATCAAAGTGATTGCAGAGGATAGAATGACATGGAGAAATAGACCTCGAGCCCTATCTGATAATCTGCTTCTTCTTCGCGTTCACCAGCTGTAAACTCCGGTGAAATGTTCTGGTTGTTCGTCCACTTCTGGACTGGAGCCCTGTTCCAGAACCTGAGTGTTGTATGTGCATCCGTTTGACATGATCTGACTAATTTGTATGCAGACTGCTGGTTCCTTGCCTCTCAGGCAGATGTACTCGGACTTTGAAAGAAGGTCCCAGTTAGTCGACTCTCACAGCATTCTTTTGGGTAGGCAGTGGGTCTGTTTTTGTTTTTCCTATAATAGGGCCCCAGAACCAACACAGGGGATCTGATATATAATGGTACTGTAGGACACTGAATGAATGAATAAATGCTTATAAATATTAATATTAGCTCTGTGCTGCCAGTGCTGTGTAAAATAAACATCTGTGAGATACCATGCCTGAAGAAAGCTGCCAACTCAACCATTCGAGACTTAGTGAGAAATGCTGCTGTCAGTCAGACTTTACGAGCAGCACCAGATTCATTTGAATTGTTAAAATGCAGCCACTGCTGCCGACACAGGTGCAACACCTAAATGTTGTGTAAGCAAGTTGGCCTCCAAGCTGAATATGGATTGATGACACTGAAGACATTATATATCAATGCGGAATGACAGAAGCTAGAGCTATCCATCAAGAAGATTGCCGACTTCCTCCACACAACACTTGATAGTCGAAATTGGTGATGATGATAAGTAATTGTTTATATAATGTAAAATTTATTCTCTCTTTTTTTAAAGTTTTTTTTTTTGGGGGGGGGGGGGGGGGGGGGGGGAGGGTTGGGGTGTCTGAGATTGGCATCTGTGGCTAAAGGGTTATAAATACAGTTTAATAATTCCAACATACCAGCTTTGCTTGAAATGCAGACAGTTTTGTATCAGACCACTGTGCAGACATTATATTTTGCTTATTTGGAACTTACATATAACTTATATGGAAACTTTAACATCTGTGGTTCTATAGGTCTTTTGGCATCTTACTATGGGAGATATGTTCTCTGGGCGAACATCCCTATGACTGTCTAACAGATGAAGGAGTGTTACAGAATGTTGTGCAGGACAGGCTCATCTTACCAGCAGACGTAAACTTGAACCCCAAACTGCCCTTCAAGGTCAAAATGTGAGTTTGTTTGAACTCTTTGCCATCAGTCAATGAATCTCTAACGTGTTCTGTCTTTTGCCATGAATACCTCCTTCTCTCAGACTGCTTGCTGTTCATCCTTCTATTGATGTTATCTCCAATTGTATCACTGTCTACCTCTTGCTCAATTGCTTTCAGCTTTTAAGGTATACAAAGCAACTTATTAGGAGTTGACTATTGGTTATATTGAGCTGAAAGATGCAGATATCACAAGCTAGCTGTAAATCACAACATGCCAACTGCCAATTTAAAGGTGAATGGAGAAGAAGAAGATAAAGAAGCTGCAATCAAACAATGGTATTGCTTGGTGTGTTTCAATGTTGAAGGCAAGCAAGTAAGAGATAGACAGTGACAGAAATGGAAGAATAACATGAAGCGATTAATGAACAGTAGTCTCAGAGAGTCTACAGATAGTGAGAGACATTGTGCCAGAGAGATAATAAAGAAGCAACAATTTAATTAGTGAGAGACATTGTGCCAGAGAGATAATAAAGAAGCTACAATTTAATTAGTAAGAGACATTGTGCCAGAGAGAAAATAAAGAAGCAACAATTTAATCGATTAAAAAAAAATGTTAAGATAGTCAAAACACTCAAATTTAAATAAAGAAGAGGCTATCCTCCGGCTATTGGTCGGTAAAGATGGCGGCTGAAAAATATCAGCTCAAGCCTCAGTCACGTGTCAATTGCGCACTTCCAGCTACTTAATTTGCAGTTTTCCGCCACAGCCACGTGGCCGCAACGCCGCGTGAGCGCGTGGATCGGGGCTAAACTAGATGGCTAGGACTTACGAGCAAGGCTGCAGGAGATGCGGAAGCTGCTGCTCGTGAGTCCTAGCCATCTAGTTTAGCCCCAATCCACGCCGCGTGAACGGCGTGGGTGCCATGTAGCGGTTGTTGGCGGAAAACCGCAAATTAAGTAGCCGGAAGTGCGCAACTGGCACGTGACTGCGGCTCGAGCGGATATTTTGCGGCCGCTATCTTTACCGACCGTTAGTCGGAGGATAGCCAAAGAAGACACTGAAAATAGATCGCACAATTAATTGCATGGCATTTTTTCCTGCATCTCATCAGATGCATATAAGTAAAGGTCTAGTTTCTGTGTCGTGAGGCAAATTGGAGTAAGTGAAGTTGAACTCCACTAGATTGCACACTGGGTGATTAACATCTGGTGACACAAAGTGCAAAGATTCTCTATTTGAATGAGAATTGCAAATCCTAGAAATCCCCTTCAACTGCAAGGATACTTTGGGGCCCCTGACGGTTACAAAGTAACTTGAAATCCATACAGGTAAGGATGTGGTACAATCGATGTGTATTCGGCATATGGGGGATACTTTTATAGACCAATTAGCACTCTCCATGTGGGATTTAGTTAATATCATGCCACCTTTGCTTCTCAGAACATATTAACGATCTGGTTCAGTGGAGATTCAAACCTATGACTGTAAGGGCAGCAGGCAAGCATACTAGCAACTGTTCTGCCAGCCGCTAATTTACTAATGTAACTATTTTATATTTCTTGAAACATTCTTTTTCTCCCCATTTGGGCTTTAGAGCCCAATTGTTTTTTTTTGGGGGGGGGGGGGCAGACTCATTGCCCCGCTAACAAGGATGTCATAAAAGGTGACTGATTATGGGTGTTTTCATCAGAGTAGGAGTGCATCCACCTGAGATGGGAGGAACCAGTAGTCTGCACAGATTTGTAAAACAGATGTGCATACAAAACTCAAGTTCTGGAACAAGACCAACATCCAGAAGTGGACATATAACCAGAACTTTATGCTGGAGTTTACAGCCAGTGACACCAAGAAGAAGAAGTAGATACAATTTTCATTTGGCATGTATGGGAGTAAAGGTCACTACATCTCAGCTTTGGGTTGGTTACCCTGCTAAAGAACTTAGTTGACTGTTGTGATGAGTCCACATTATTTGGTCTTCTCCCCAGGTGGTCAGTTATGATACAGTGCTGGGAGGAGCCATCAGAGAGACTACAAGTGGAGCAAGCTCATCGTATTCTTGAGCAGCTGAAAATTAATTCCGATGTCATTTCAGGCACGTCTGACTTTGATCAGAAATGGAATCATCTGCAGCCAAACCAAGAAAAAAAGGCAAACATCAGTGTAGAACATACATCAGCCCTGGCCAACACCACTGTTGTAGATTTTCATTTAGAGAAGCCATCTTTCTTTTCTAGTGAGATAGGTATGCCAGATGGGGTCAAGAGAGATGATGTTATTTTGGAAATTGATAGTTATCTCACTCCAGTTTCTTCTTCCAGAGACCTTGCTGTTCCAAAGTCTTCAGTGCAGCATGTTCTCACTTCTGCAGACCACACTTTAAGCAGAATTGAGCAGAATGGTTCTTTTAGTGCTTCTCCATGCCAGGTCATACAAGAGAATGAAGTGAAACGAATGTCTACCCCTCTAAATCATGATAGACCTGATGTGTCACTAGAGCAGCAGATGATAGATGGTCTATTGGTGGCGTCCAAGGGATCAGTTTCTGCATCTCAGTTTTACTCACCTCACTCATCTCCAAGCAGTGAATACATAACAGTGGATGAAATGCGTGGCCATTCTGGCATCCAGGATGACACACTTAAAGAACTCAGCATCGCTGATGGAGATTTATCCCTTGATTCTGAAGGATTGTCTATCCACGAGTCAATTGATGATACACTGAAAGACTCATTCAGTCCAGGGGAAAACAGCATTGGAAATAATAATAATATATTGTTCATTTTACCATTTCATGAAAGGGAAGATGATTTCAGTGATTTTGTCCAAACATCACCTGAACATCATGATATCAGTTGTACAGATTTTGAACCTTATGTTCCTACTGCTGTTGATTCACTTGTTCAGACAAATGGTGTTCATGAAGATGAACTGTGCAATAATAATGCTTTCATACTGGAAAATAATATGACATCTTCTGATGGTTTCTGTTGTACAGATGATGTATTTTCTGAGCTTGTTCCTTATGTTGATAGTATTACACATGTGAATAGTGACAGAAATGAATTTAGTGATCTTCATATTTCCACTTCCCCCTTTGATGTTGATGGTGTGAATTCTATATCAGGGTGCTCTAATCTGTTTGATCGTGTCAATTCGTATGATGCCATAAAAGCTAGTATAGAAGAATCCAGTAAGCTCAGTAATCTTCAAGTGTACCCAGAAGTAAAACCTTTATCTGACAGTAACCAGGATGTATTTATCAGTGCTCAGGATCATAACTTCACGTCTTCAGCGCTTTTGGTTCCAGGTCTGGAGATTGATGAAAGTGGATCAAGCTTGGACATGGCGGATGCATCCAGAGAGATGCTTTCTGCAGAAGCAGTTATATCTAATCAATATGATGACCAGTCTGCGATTGACAATCAGATGGAATCTATATCTCTGCCCAGCAATGTGTCTGATTCCACTTGTCATGTCAGCAGTGATAATACAGACGCTGTTCACAGTGTTTCACTCCTGCAGTCAGAGTCTTTTGCAGATTCACATGAACATCTTGAAAGTGTGAATAGAGAGAAGCTTCCTCATTCTTTTGGCATTATAGATGACCACAACGAATGTAACAGCAGTTTTAACTTGGTGAAAACGGAAAATGGGCATGCAGATAGTCCATCTGAACAATTACGTGAGAGAATCCTCTCTGATTATTCGGATGTTCATGGAATATCTTCCTTAAAGGATAGTGACAAATTGATAGTACAGGAAGAGGTAAGTACCAGTAGACATATTGAGACAGAGAGTGTAGATTCTAGCATCCATAGTTCCAGCATGACAGAAGGTCCTACTAATTATACCACTAACAACACTGAAGTTGGTTTAAGTGATTCTAGTGATTACATTCAAGAGACAGCTCTCAGTGAAACATGCAAAGAAGGTGATGATGATGAAGAGCTAGATGAAGGGCCTTCAGCATTTCAATCAAATCTGTATCGATGCAGTCGAATCAGTCTTACTGAAGACCCTGAAGATGCTGCAGATGAATCATCAAATTTCAAAAGTGTTGATATTCATAATGATCACTGCAGGGAAGATTCACAGAGTCCGGTTGACTCTGAATCAGAAGATGCTTTCAACAGCAACTTTGAAAATGAGCAAGAATATATTTCAGATGAGGCCATTTCAGGGCCGCCTCAGACATCATCTCCAGATAATACAGCAATTGATCCAGATTCAGATACTACTGTTAGTCCAGAACCTTCTTCCCCTGTTGATTTTGATGAACAGGCTTTGCAAATTGCCAGTGAGATATATTTGTCCAGAGGATTGAAGTCACCAAGGGTGTTTGAAATCCTTCCACTGGAAACCATCCCTGAGCATCCGCCCATGCCAGATTTCCACGAGGAGTCAAATTATACACCATCAGAAACCAGCTCTTTGGATGTTCGATATGAGGAGATGTTTGGTGGGGATAGTTTTGAATGGGATGACTTCTATGGAGACTCATTAATTGGAAAAGACTTGAGTCTTCAACATTCATCGCATCAGCAGAATTCTGTCAGAGAATATGATGTTTCTGACTGGTCCATGGATATTGACTCTGAAAGCATTGCAAGTGGCGCAAGTCCCCCATCGCAGTCAGAAGAAACAACATTCAGTCAGCCAATGCATCTTCCATCACAGTCAAGCATTTCTGTGTACTCAGACATTAGCACACAATTTTCTTTAAGCTCAGTATTATCACCGCTTTCCAAAAGTACTGATTCATCAAGAGAAACTTTGGTTTCCAGTTTGCTATCGCAGCTACAATCCCCAATCATAATGCCAGTATCCAGTGCAAATCAAAAAAACTTTTACTCCCTCATGGGGAAGTATAGTCTCGAGACAGATTCTTCTTTGGATGGATTGGCAAGTCCACCAATGGTCATGACTTCAGCTGTTAGATCTTCCTCTGTTACACATGCAACACCTTTGTCACCACCAGCCTCTCCTCCGTTCTCACCTTTACTTCCATCTGGCCAAGAGAGATCAGTGCAGCAGATTGCATCAACCTCACCGGTGTCATCTGAGCAGAGCATGCGCTCCAGCAAGTCTTCCAAAGAGGTAATGTGATAGTCAATAGCTGCTGTTGATGTTTAGGGTTATGTAAATTAGCAAGTTTTAATACCCTGATTCCTTTGCAGAGTTTACAAAAGAAAAAGAACAGTAACCCACAGCAGAATATTTATTACATGGAAGACCATGATGAATTAGATGCTCAGTATATGGGATGATTCATGGAGAAAATCTTTTCATTTTGTTACAGTAAAGTACAAAACCATTCGGATGAAAAGAGTTCTGGCATTGAAAGAGTTAGTTGCCTTTTACGACATGCATGATTAGCTACAGAATTACCATTATTTTGCTTCCCTTACAGGCCCTGGAAGCATGCTGGCTTGTTTTAATATGCATCATCTCCCCTTTCAGGTCCTGGCAGATTATTAAAAATGACCTTGGCTCTAGGTCAACTCAGCTTCAAATTAGTACCAGGTAAAGTCCTGGAAAGTAAAGACAACCCGTGCGATGTTGACCATGTCGCACACTGAATGCCACGACCTATAAAATATAGGTCTGGTGCTATATGCACAGTACGTGTGGAAAGGGGTCCTTTGCTTTTTTTTTTTTTTGGTACTTTACAACACCCTTGTTGTGTCAATTAGTGCTCACGGCATATTTTCCCATTCTATTCTATCCTGTGCAGTTGTTTGGATATCATGGATGGAATTCAGTCCAGCACCTTTGGCCTCCATCATTACTTTTATTCTGAGGGTCTCTTTTGGGCGTCCTGTTTTCTCTAATCCATTTAATGCCAGTTTGGTGATTCTGTGCACGCTTCTTCTTAGTGCCCATTATATTGTCATTGTCTGTCTAATAACTGTAGAAAGCAACGGTTGTTAAGACTTTTCTCTTGTTTCTTTGCCTTGCTTAAATTTATCCCATATAACGTATATTTTGATATTTCGCCCAAATAAATATCACTGTCCACCTATTTGTTTGTTTTAGTATCCAGAAGCCATGAGTTGTTAACCCTTAGGCTCGGTATTATGGATATCGCAATCTTTCGGCCTTGATTCCATTGTAAATAATGTAAATCTGGGAGAAAATGTGGCTTTCCTGCCCACCCCCGAGATTGAACCCGGACCACAAGGAGTTCATCACCTGGTCTCCGCGCAATCCGGTTTAGCCAACTACGCTAGAGAGCCGGGCGTCCACCTATTTAAAACAGTTGAATTTGTGCACAATCATTTGCAACAAATTAACACAATTGACTTGTTAGTTTCAGGAACCGGACAGAGAAGAAGCCAGCTTGTCTCTTGAAGCAGCTAGTGCTTTATTAGAGAATCATTCAGAAACAGTAACAGCTTCTGGAAATATTCATGCGCCTATCAAAAACATATCAAATGAGGAGCAGAATGACAGTTCGGATCTTCAGTCTGTCATCAGTGTTGGGAACAAGCATAATGTGTTAGTGAATAACAAGGAAACTCTAGAAGATACAGATGTGATAATTTCTACTGAGTTGACAGAAAACCCATATATTGACCTTTGATGAATCACTGAATGGATACTCTTAAGTGGTAGTGTGAATGCTTATCTGCAATATAATCTTTTTTTGTTATTGTTGCTTTTTTAGTGTGTGTCGTTTCAAGCAGTAGCCGAGCTAAGAACAAAAACTGTGTTTGTCTACTTATCTAGAGTATTGTGTCCAAATTTTACCCGAGCAGTGTCGTTAGGCTACTCATTTCGATTTCCAACTGCCAAGGGATTTTTACGTGCGCAACAATGCACACGGGTGTCTGATCTCACTACCCAGAGACCAGGGGAAATTACTAGAAGTCCACATAAACAGAAAACAATCCCAGCCTTCACCGGGGCCTGAACCCGGGACTTCTCACACTCGAGGCGGACACTGTGCCTCGAGACCACGCAGCTCCACTGTCTTCAATAAATCCTCCTGTATTGTGTTCATAGTAATGGGTTCCTTCATATTGTAATCTACATTGGTACCATTTTTTCTACTAGTGTTTGGTTGCTTCTTCTTTTGTAAACTCTTTCAGTAACAACCAGGTTATTGGCCATAAGTACCAAACCACAAACAAATTAACTGTTTAGTTTTATAGTACTATACAAACCTGACTGGTTACTCTTATATCCCTTGGTATTTGTGTTGCAGCATCTGTGATAGTTATCCTCTCACATGCCGTTTATGTTAATTGAGTCTATTGTTACATTGGAATTGTCAGCTAAATGTTCTGGTGCTTAAAGAGTTGAAAAAAAAAAAATAGTATATCCTTCATCACAGTTCTATCTTTATAATTGTGTACCATAGTTAATATAATATTTGAATTCTTCAAAAGTTATGTAGTAGTAATAAAGCAACAGTGGTTGATAAAAAGAAATAATTGATTTTGTCATGACTTGATCATTTACACACACACAAAAATGGCTCTAAATTTCTCCATGAATTTTCTGTCCAGTAATTTATATCTATGAAAAGAATGAAGAAGCCATGTTTTTTTTTTTTTTTTTTTTTATAAACTAATGGCATATAGTCATAACATTTATATTGCAGTAAGTTGAAGTCTGGAAATCAAGAATAATGTGCAGCCAGTTTAGTTATGTCTCCAGAACATTTTCTCCAAATTGAAATTATGATGAGAAACTTAAACGACTGAGATGAATCACCATCAGAGTACATAACATCAACAGTATAAGAGGTATAGATTATACAATAATGACTGCAGTTGACAAACAAGACTTTGTGATTGTGTGCAGTAAGCAACTAGGACTGGAATAAAATTATAAGAAAACAATTAAGAAGAAGAAAATATTTTGCAATGTTAGTTGAAGTAAATGAGAAAAAATGGAAACAGTTTAAATGATCGTCACTCAGTCATGATAAAAATAAAGGAGCCTTGTAGAAATTAGAACAAGCCAAGGGCCCAAGTAGTTTTTAACAAGATGGAAAACCCCTCACTCCAAAAAAAAATGTTATTAACTATGGAAAGTACATTTATTTTGAATTTTGAATCATGCCCCCGTGGGGGGGGGGGGGGGGGGGGTCTGTTGATTCATTTCATCTTGTTGATTCCATTTGCCGAGTTTATTATTGCTACTGCTCTGTGTTATCATTACAGATTATTTGCTTATATTTTCACTAACTTTTGCCAGATTCTTTAGAATTCAAGTTCCTTAACTATTTCAGTAACCAAGCAGATTGTCACACGTTTGTTTGTGTTTTTTGGAATTATCTACTTTTCTCAGTTATGTGTATCTGTTCCTTGTGCTACACTCATCCATTCTGGCCTCTTTGTCAATTTAACTCTTTCGTCCTCCTGGTGATATAATTTTAAACTTATCGTGCTTATAAATGTATTAAGTAGCAGCTTCTAAGGAGGTAATGAGTTAAAGTGAAACTAGCTTGAAACTGAAAAGTAGAACTAGTCAGCTTTACATTACCACGGATGACAAGTCAGTGCTGCGGTTAGAAAGCCATCATTAGGATGTTGCATAAATAAACAGTGTCACAATTATGAACAAGCGTACACACAATCACTTAGCTGAGGTATCTCCAAGAGAAATCAACTTGTCAGTTGAAGCTAATTTGCACAGTACTAGAGTTATTAAAATTTTTTTTTTTAACCCTGTTGCTAGGAGCATGCTGCTACTCTTTCACTGCCAAGCATATTTGATTACTCAGTACATTGCATTCATTTCCTGAATTCATTTTCTGCATCACCTTTCTGTTAACTCATTCATCCTAGTTGTTACTTAACTCCAGCCATAACAGTTGAATTTTAACTCATCAGTAATTAATCGCGGGTTGCTATTAAAAAGTACAGTCTTTGGGATATACAGGGTTCAAGAAACAACTACTTGGTGCTGAGAGAGTTGAAGAATTAGGGACTGTAATTACTTACTTCCATCGTTGTATGCAAGCAACATATATCATGTATTCTCTTGAGCTTCCCGAGTAGTGGATGCAAGTCTTAAATGCTGTTTATCCATCATCATTGAAAGGAATTTATGTGACTCTCTCGCAGTTGTTTTCCCGAAAAGCAAAGTTTTAGTGTCCATCAAGTTTTGTAAAAAAAGGTCTCAGTTAATATGAGTCCCAATCTTGATACATAAAAATTTTCATCCCATCTCAAAGTTGGGGGGGGGGGGGGGGGGGGGGGGAGGGGGGCTTCTGACATAAATGGCAGAAGCTGACTGACCACTGCTGATGCAAATTTTCCATTTTTTGGCTGGAATCCAAAGGTTCCATTGCCCAGGTACTGAGTTGAGTGACTGGTGCGACACGGTGAGCTTTGAATTTTATCTGGACTGTTTCATCTGTCATTCTCGCAGCATATTGTTGCATGCCCTAAAGTCGCGGGTGGCCAGTTATGTTCACAATAGCCTGTACTTTTGCAGGTGCAGTCCAGGTTTTCATGATTGACCATTTGTGCTAACTGCACAACTGCAGTTTTGGTGTGGGACCATTAGTGTTGGCTCTTGTGGCAGCTGCTTATGCACTTTTATTTTACGTATACAAGCTTCAAGATTTTGCTGGGACTGACAAGTTTTTCTGACTAGTTTTCAAATGGAACAACAGTCAAGGAAATTTTGTGTGTGATTTCCACTGGCACAGGAACAAAGCAGTTATGGGATGGCCTGTCTGCTGTCTGCATGGAATGAAGTTGGAACCTCAGCTGACTAACTAACATCACATCCTCATTTGAGAGCATTATATTCTTCTTCTTCTTTCTCCCCACCATTTACCTCAGTGAGGTGTTGGGGGGAGATGTAAGGAGCATTTATACGCTTTTTCCAATGCATTGTATAGTTGGTGTTCATTTCTGTTAGGTTGCTCTGTTAGGTTGCTCCTAAGGTTGTCACTCCATCTTTTGCGTGGTCTGTTCATTTCTGTTAGGTTGCTCTGTTAGGTTGCTCCTAAGGTTGTCACTCCATATTTTGCGTGGTCCTCCCCTTGCTCTGTTTTCATTATATCTTTTCAGCGTGGCTCTCTGTCGCAGTTGGTAACAGGGCCAAACCATCTCATTTGTTG